CTTGTCAAAGATAAGAGATGGATATAATTTATACTCATTTCATCATTGACATTTTATACTTGTGAAAATTATCTCTCTCTAAATTCATCTTTAATTAGACAATTTTTCAATCTCTTTGATCAAATACTCATAAAACTACATCAAATGTGTGCTAGGTAGGTAGGTAGATAAGTATGTAGGTATGTGGGTAGGTAAGTATCTATGTATGTAGGTAGGTAGGTGGGTATGTAGGTAGGTAGGTAGGTATGTTCATCATGATTGTAGTAGTAAGATATCAATAGAAAGAGATAAATAAAAGATTTATTGTGTTATCTGGAAGCAATGGGATGAAGCAAAGCTAAAGGATACATGATATTTACAATGAAGATAACAATCATATTATTCAATAGTATATTTAGCTAGTGTCTATCATTTAAATCATTCATTTAATCGACTTAAACAATTCTTAATACTTTCATAACTTGCGCCATAGAATGATCTTAGCTAGAAAACCACTGAAAACCAGAAAAAAAAACTAGATGCTTATTTCATCCTAGACAATTCAATAGTGAGCATCTTTGAACCCACCAGGGAGCGAACATAGGACTTTCAGGTGTCATGGTAACTGCTTAACTTTTGAACAAGTGAATAAGTATCCAATGATTTGTGTTTTTCAGTTATCAAGTTATAAACAGTTAAAGGTTTGGGACAAATCTACATCAACTGTAGTCACCTCATGTATATTAGCTCAGTGGAACGCAATTAACGAGTTAACGAGGTAACTAGTCAGAACTTTGAAATCACGAACTAATCCAGGTTAAATCACTATTGAAGGCATGAGAACACTGAACCATTACTTCGTTCTAGTATTGGACCTCGCTGAAGTGTACATTCACAACCCCACACACGGAGGTCGAACCCAGTACCTTTTGACTCGGTCACAAACACAAATTATTGATTGCATTGTTGGTACCCAATGGTGCAGAAATCTAACTTCAATCAATCCATGATAGTGTGCGACCATCTTCCATTGTCTTCAGTGGGTAACTATCTCACATTTGACTCGAACTAAGGAAATTTCCCCTCAAAGCTATTCACAAGTGTGGATGCTAGCAACTATTCGCTCTGATGAATTGAACGGGAATACATATATCTACGGTGTCTGATTTAGACGCACACACACACACTTCCAATAAACAAGCTCAACAGCCAGCGAAACTAAAATGAATAACAAATAAAACTAGAAAGCTATAATTTACAAAACATAATAGGTTCATATACAAACCACAAGTGTATAAACATTCATTCGTCTGACATGTAAATTGAGACATTGACTAGATGTTTAATCAAATCCCATCAATGTCTCTGATATTTTTGGACTCGCTTAATCTATCAACCTGTATGTATACATCCACTAGACTACTTCTGAATAGAATGAATTGTATATTTTATTCCAGGCTGTTATCCATCATACGTTTTTCTAATCTTCCCATTTATCAACCAACCTATCAGTGATCATAATTCATCTGAAGAAAGTCTTCATTTCTGTTGTTAGAAAGGGGGTTTTGTGAAGATTATAGTAATTTAATAGTTGGATTCATGGTTCAGATAAAGTTAGACCACCGTGGAGAGCTTAGAAGCACTGGCTGATCGTTTCGTCCTAGTATGTGGCTCCTCAGCAGCGCGCATCCACGATCCCCTTCATGTGACTCGAACCCAGGACCTTTAGTCTCGCACACGAACGCTTGACCTGTAAACCACTGAGCCAACCGGTGTACAACAGTGTTAATTTCTAACTTCAATCGATCCATGTATGACTGCGCAACAATTCATCCATTATCTAAGGTAGATAGATACCTGTCTCTATTTGACATGGATTATCTCCACTGGTCATGGCTTCTCACTAGAACTCCAGGAAATACATCTTGAAGCCAACCACCATGACTTTATCAAAAGAATTTATCCCTTAAAATTAGTATAAACATCATTTTTGAAAGGATTTCTTCCTATCGAACAACAGAATTTCTTGGAAAATTCTTTTTTTTCTCAACGTCCATGTACATCCTCTAATGTGATTATAAAACATAAAATCCAAAGATGGATGTATTTTCAATGAATTTACTGTTACGTCCTCGCTGTAGGGGTGTTGTTTACGAAATCGAGTGGACGAAAAGCGAATTTCTGGAGCTCGAACTAGGTTGGTGGACACGAAAGGTCCAAATCAGTAGTGTACATGGGCTCTAGGATCCTGGGGAACACAAGGCGTATGAAGTAGTTGTTGATCACCTGCTACTATGTGACTGGAACTCCTTATATTGCTCCACTGCCTTGTGGATTAGACCTTTACGCCAATGAAATAAGACACTTAAAATTAAACACGAACTATGGATAGCCTTGTCTTTTCAACATTCTCAACCATTTTTGCAATGTTCGCGACCCAAAACAGATATATCATGTCACTTGATGATTCACCAAGCCTTTCATCTAAGTCTATTTCCGTGTGTGCCATCTCTGTATCATTACCAGTCTTGAAATCCTGAAAGACTAAACTCTAGTTTGTATGCTTAGAAAATTTTTTTGTTAAAAACACAATCACAAGCCAGAGTACGAAATTTAGCTACGCATATTCATTGATGCCGGAAGACGTTATTGGACAAGTGCCTGACGTTATTTTTAGGCCGGTTTCAGACTCATCATACGATTGTTTAAAAACAGAGATCGTTCGTGTAACATCTCTCACCGACCAGCAGACAACTGATCAACTTTTAGCTAATGTAGAACTATGTAACATCACACCGTCTCAATTAAAACGCCACATGACAAATGTATCGTGGAATCGTATAGTAAATAAAAGTATATTATATCAACTGCAGCTCAAACGTCTCCCTCAAAACATCAAACAGGTACTAGCAATTGGAGAAGAAGATTTCGAATTTAATAGGCCAATGGACATAACCAACAGAATTTACGAGCGGACTAAGACATGCTTTAAGTAACCCACAAAAAGTTCACTCTGTCCGCTTTTATTTCACAGTTATTATCAAATACAACGATAATCAGAGAGGAATTTTGTAGGTGTTATAGTAATTTCAATAGTTGAATTCACGATTTAATTGAAGCTATACCACAATGCAAAACCTGGAAGCCTGCCCAGTGGTCTAGTGGTCAAGCGCTCGCGTGCAAGACCGATAGGTCCTGGGTTCGAATCTCGCAAGGCGAGACCGTGGGTGCGCACTGCTGAAGAGCTCTTTACTGGGACGAAACGGCCGTCCAGTGTTTCCAAGTTTTTCATGGTGGTCTAGCTTCAATTGACTCATGATCTCAACTATTAAAAGTACAACTATGCTGTATATCGGTAATTCATTTGCCCCCATCAATTCAAAAGTCAAATTGAATATCCAAACAGATCATTGTTTCAGTTCTATAAGGGAACACATCATTAATGAATATTCGGTGTAATCATTAGTTTCATACTGATAACCTATTAATCGACTAGAATTATGAATAACATATGGTGATGTATTTATGTTTTAAAGCTATGTCAATACATTATTATTAGTAACAGGTTGTGCTAATCACAAACTGACATTAAATGGAGATATATTTACAAATTATAAAGTATTATTGCATTGTTTCACTTTCATTAATATAACTAACGTAATATCGTGGGTCTGTTGAAGTTGAGTATGTCTTCTACTATTGAATTCTGGTTTATTTATTAAGAGGTAAAGCGTTCACAAACAAAAGACTAATGGTCCTGAGTACATTCTTCACTTCCACACTAATTAGGAATCCTACATTAGGACGAAATGAGTGTTCAGTGCTTCCAGGTATTGAGTAGTTGTCTAATTAAGATTAGTTCATGACTTTAACCTACTTTTTATATTGTATCATAGACAGAAATGACACAAACACACACACAAAACAAATAATCTCAGTGGTATTGTTTACTTGAATCTTCACATTGATGTTCAAGACTGAAATCGATCAATCTCTTATTGGCATATGTGCATCCGGTGCGGATTGCTTCGATATAGCCTTAAGTCACAAGCTTTTCAAGCAAAGATGGATGATGAATAGCAGTAGAATGGTGGATGCACATTTTTTCCTATTTGGTACTCGTCAACTAGGATGTACCTATATCTCAGAGTTGATGTTCACTCTGTAACTCGAAACCAAAATCATTCACTTCAAACACCATCATATTATCCACTTAGCCACTTGCTTCTGAACATCAACTCTAAGTTCCAAGTATATCCACTAGCTGACAAAACACTCATCAAACTCGATTCCATTACTAATTAATATATATCGCCCCCAAATGCCCTGGTACGGCTAAAAATGGAGAGTCCGCTCTCCCCCTCGAAATGCTCTCACATGGCCACGCATAAATAGCCACTTCCAGAAAAGTCCTTCTCACTGCCTTCTCGTGGTGGTGAGGTGTTGTTCACGAAATTGAGAGGACGAAAAGCGAATGTCCGGCAGTTTAACCGAGTTGATGAACATAGAGAGTCCACTTAGGGGAGTTAGAAAACCCTGATTCAAAACTAATGCTGCACATGGGCTTCATTACTTTGAGGAAACAAATGGCGTATGAACCAATCGTTAGTCACCAGCTACCATGGGACTGAATCTGCTTACGATGCTCCACTGCCTTGTGGATCAGAGCTTTAGATCGAAGGCTCCGGTTATGGCCCCCTACAAAAACCACGTGCTTCAATCTTGGCACCCAGTCAGTATCACAGCCGTCACACATATCAAATGAGATCTGTATGGTGCATTTGTATTTGATGTCTCCTTATATCAATATCTATGTGTTCATATAAAATATATATATATCTTTATAAGCAGAGATGGATAGTGGCTAGCAGTGGAATCCACGACTCGCGTTTCGTCCTATTTAGAACTCGTCAGCTAAATGTACTTACATCTCAGAGTTGATGTTTACTCTGATATTCGAACTCAGTACCGTTCACTTCAAACGTCATTTTGTTATCCATTCATTCAAATATTATACTTACTTGAAAATTAAAACATGGTACATTATAACGTTTTTGTAATATTTGTGTATAAAAATATTGATTTAATGGTATTGGTAACATAATTAAATTATCATCTAATCCAATTGATAAACGTATACCTTGATAACCATTATCTATTGCTATAAATTGAAACATATTATCAATATTACTTATATTAAATTCCCAATAAGATATTGTTGAATGTATTAATGATTGTATTATAATTTCATTTGTATCTATATCATCTATATTTAAAAATAAATTATTTGGTATATATAATGATAAATTTCTTGCTAAATTCATATATTTATTCCATAATATATTATATTGTTTATCATATACATTATATGGTGCCATTGCATTACATAATATAATATCAGGCCATTGAAATTCTTCATAATCATTTATATAACTAGTTAATATTGGATATGATAAATAATGTTCAATTATATATAATAAATTAATTAAAAATCCAATCATACCAATTAACCATAATATAAACCATATAAAACGATTTATATGATTAGTTGCTTTTGATAAATGTGATAAACCATGTATTGTACTATGATTTAATAATTGTATAATGCCTAGACGAAAATCATTAAATTGATTTGTATTATTATTATTGTTATTATTATTATGATTAGTAATAGTATTTGTCCCATGAATTTGGGTTCTTTCCGATGAATCATCTAATGAATTAGGTAACATCAGTGATAGTATGTGTTTCTTTTTAGCGATAAATTTTAAACTACTAATAAGTAGTTAAATAATGTTTACTAAATTTATTGATACTGTAAAGTCACACAATTTGAACTAAATGACAATAATTTGAAACTTCTAATATAAGGTGAATGTAAAATTTATATCCTTTATATTATGAGAAATTGTTTAAAGAGTGTTCATTCAATGGATAAAAGAGAACATTAATTAAAATTATTGGTTCATTTTAACTGAACACAAAAATATTGTACTTCGAATTTAAGAATGTCGGTTGTATTCATGGTAGAAAAAAAATGTTTGATATGAGCTAACCAATTAGATAACAGTTTGGATTATTTTAAATTAGGGATGAAAGAATTTCACTGGTTCATATTATATGACAATGGGGTGTAAGCAAAAGTATATGTGCGTTTCTATACTCGCACACACACACACATGCATTATTTACCAAGTGAAATAGAATTTCTGACGTACTACGTATTTACACTAATATTATTATTATTATTATTATTATTATTATTATTATTATTATTATTATTATTATTAATATCCCACTAGCATTAAAACTAACAGTATTGTAGTTTTGTGGACGTTTGTTTAATTAGTAGATGGTATATATCATTGATTTAGTGTATTCGTTTGGCACAATTCCGACTTTATTCAATTTTCGATATATAGCTAATCAGTTAAATTAGTTAGCTTATTAGTGACTTTACTTTGAGCTGTTCCTGAATGTCCAATTAGAAGTTACAATTTGTTCAGCTTAGATATTTTAAGAATAAACTGGTTTTAATTAGTGAAATTGGATGATATTCATGTAATATTTCAAGCTGATTGGATTTGAAATTGTACCGTTGGTTGACTGAAGAGTTCCATTAGTTAGACATTGGCCCTAGGAGCAGAAGTTCGTGGATTTGAACAACTGTGAAGTTGTAGCTGTACACTGGGTTAGTATCGTCATAATAGAACAAACAGTTTTACAGTCCTGTTTGGTTTTGAATGCTACCGCAAACAAAAATAATATGTGACAAATACAATCTACTTCGAAACAGTATTTATTCGCTTATTGACTCAGGATGCTCAAATAGTACAGTTCTGTTCGGTCAGAGTTTTCTGACCTCATAAACTTATATGAAATGAGATTTTCCCCTCATAAATACTAAATTTTGCTACAGCACTGATTTTTGTCAATGCTTGAATGAATCATAGGGAATGAATCAGTTGATTGTGTCAATTACTTCACTTATCTTTGAAATTTTATCACCCTTAATGGGTTGATTTCTGACAAAATAGCGATACAAATTTAGAAAGCTCAGTTGGCTTTTGCCAATTTACATTACCTGTGGAATAAGGAAGATAAACGTCTACCAATTAAAAGACAAGTATACAACATAAAAGTTCACTTTGATTTAATTTATAGATGTGAAACGTGATCTTTAAAATTAGAAGATAATTGTAGGTCTCCGATATTTGATCGCAAGTATATTGAAGCCACTGGTCATGTATTTTCAAATTATTAAATTAACCATTTTTAGATTAGAGGTAGAGTACTAAGTATATCAAGTCAATTGATCAAGTAGTTAATCTTTACCGACTGAAATGATTAAGACATACAGCATGTATTTCTATTGACCGACTATCTGACTTCGTCATCGTAGTTGTTGTAGAAGTACGGTAATATAAAACTATGAACGGTCAAATAAATCTCATTATTGACTGTTTCAAGAAACGCTGGAAGATGTTCAATCCTTCACATACCTGGGAAGCATCATCGATGAACAAGGAGGTTCAGATGCAGACGTTAAGGCGAAGATTGGAAAAGCAAGGGCCGCATTCCTACAATTAAAGAACATATGAAACTCAAAACAATTGTCTGTCAACTAATACCAAAGTCACAATCTGCAATACGAACGTCAAGGCAGTTCTACTGTACGGAGTTGAAACTTGGAGAACTACTACAACCATCATCAAAATGGTACAAGTATTTATAAACAATTGTCTACGCAAGATATTCAATGACGGTTGATGGCCGGATACCATCAGCAACAGCCTTTTGTGGGAGAGAACAAATCAGCTTTCAACTAAAGAACAAATCAGGAAAAGACGATGGAAATGGATAGGACATATATGACGCAAATCATCAAGCCACATTACGAGGCAAGCCCTAACTTCGAATCCTGAAGGGAAGCGGAAAAGAAGAAGGACAAAGAACACATTACGTCGGGAAATAGAAGCAGATATGAAAAGAATGAATAACAACAAGAAGGAGCTGGAAAGGATTGCCCAGGACAGGGTTGGATGAAGAATGCTGGTGAGCGGCCTATGCTCCTTCATGAGGGATGATAGGCGTAAATAAGACAAGTAACCATGCAAAGAAACAGACAGATAGGTAGATAAACAGACGGATAGGTAACCACTTTTTTTTCTATTAAAAAAAGTAGCATAAATTGTGACGATATTCCCTTTTTTCCATTTGTAATGAATGAATTATTTATTCAAGGTTTCAATTCATAAATAATTGAAATAGAATATTATGATATGAAGTCTATCAATTTATGAAATCAACATGTCAATTATACTACTGACTTGAGTTTAATAAAACATGAATAATGAAACGAATATAATGAAAACAATTGTAAATGATTAAATTCATTTGGTATTGTTTGTTTGATTCTTCTGATTGTTGTTTAGAATTACAAGTGATCAGGCTCTTAATGACATATATGCATCCTATGAAGACTGCCACGATATTGACATAAGTCATAAGCTTTGTAATCAAAGATGGATGATGAATAGTAGTATAACGGAGGATGCGAGTTTCATACTATTTGGAACTCATCAGCTGGATGTACCGGTATCCCAGTGTTGATGCTTACTTCGAAATTCGAAATCTAATACCATTCGCCTCAAATGCCATCGTGTTATCCGCTTAGATATTGAGTCCTGATAACCACTTGGTTGTGCAATGGGGTGATGTTTAAATTCACTTGGTATTGTTTACTTGAAACTTCACATTGAAGTTCAGGACTGAAATCGATCAGTCTCTTACTGGCATATGTGCATCCTGTGCGAATTGCTTTGATATAGCCTTAAGTCACAAGGCTTTTTAAGCAGAGATAGATAGTGGTTAACAGTGGAATCCAGAACGCGCGTTTCCTCTTCAGCTGGATATACTTTCATCTCAGAGTTGATATTCATTCCAGGACTCGAACCCAGTACCATTCTTTTCTTTATAACATGACACTTCATTCATTTTAAGATTATCCACCGATTTATTAAGGCAAATCTTAAGTTGATTCAAATGGAATGAAGTTGTTGTTTTTAATTTGCTTTTTCATGTACACATTCTAGTGAATTACTATTGTCTTTATTATATTGAATTATAGAAAGCTGATCGTGAAGATGTAAAAAGTTTCATTAATCGATTAGAATTTGATAGTACAAATCAAGCACTTGAAAAATTAATTGAAGATCTATTTGCCAAGTTAAATCTAGCGGTAAGTTCATTATTATTTAAAGTAGTATATGATGATACACTTTATTTCATATTTGTGATTGAAGTTTTATCAATAAATGAATACTAAATCCATATCTCAACTAAATACAGTAAAAGACAATGAAACTATGTAGGAAGATTTACCTGATTAATGTATACATATAAGAAGTACAAATGACTTAGACAAATGAATTCGTGGATGCTGTGTTACTTACTTACGCCAGTTACTCCTCATCGAGGAGTATAGGCCGCCTACTAGCATTCTTCATTCAACTCTGTCCTAAACAATCCTTTCCAGTTGTTTCCAAATTCTGTCCATCCTTCTCATGTTTACTTCTGATTCTCGACGTAGTGTGTTCTTCGACCTTCCTCTTTTCCGTTTCCCTTCAGGATTCCAAGTTATGGCTTTCCTCCCGATGAAGTTTGGTGATTTTCGTAATGTATGTCCTATCCATTTCCAAATTTCCTTTTCAAAGGGGAACTGGTTTGTTCTCTCTCACAAAAGGCCGTTGCTGATGGCATCCGGCCAACAAGGGATATTGGGTATCTTGCGTAGACAACTGTTAATAAATACTTGTACCTTCTTGATGATGGTTGTTGTAGTTCTCCACGTTTCATTTCCGTACAGTATGACTGTCTTAATGTTCGTATTGAAGATTCCGACTTTGACATTGGTTGAGAGTTGTTTTGAATTCTATATATTCTTCAACTGTAAGAATTTTATCCTTGCTTTGCCAATCCTCACCCATATGAGCACTCATAATGTAAAGATCAATAACATTAACGTACGTACATATAGTTATTCAAAATAATTTAGTTGTAGGCTGTATTTGTCACATACTGACTTAAGCTATGATATGAATGAAGATGAATGAGCAATAGACAAATGTTTCCTCCTAATATGGGACTGTCTCTAAAACCTTAAGGTCTTAGGTCCAACACCTGATGGATTATGGGTACGTGCTTCCTAGTGCTTCCTGGTTCTTATTGTTACCTCCACTGAGATCGATCTCAGACAAATGCAATCAACAAATTAAAACAATCTTCACAAAATCTCTTTATCTAAGATATTTCAACTGTAGCCTAATAATTTTTCTACTTATAGTAAGTACGCCATCAAGAGAAACTGTTTAGCTTGAGTTAATTAGTAATTTAAAAACAAATGAAAGATGGTCAAGTAATATCGCAAACTGACTGAAGTTACACTTCCACACAATCGAATGCCAACTTAATGGTCTAGATGTTAAGCGTTCATGTTTAAAGCCGAAGGTTCTGAGTTGAATTCCTGGTTGCGGAATCGTGAATGAACACTACTGAGGAACCTCAAACTTAGTCAGTCAGTCAGTTACATCGTAGGTCCAGGCACATACATGCATCGGTCCATACATTCATTAGCACAGCAAAACGAACACCTGATTCATAGAAGCAGTTAATTCAATGATGGTAATATATAAAGGAAAGATTTCATATAAGGATATGGTACAGGAATAAAGAATTAGTCCGTAGAAAGAAAGATATGAAATAATTTTAGTCTCATAGTTTAAAGGAACACAGTAAGTGTATACACCTACGCCATTGACCCATGTCACCCAGAGTCTCCAACCATTGATTACAATAGTCACACGGATCCTAACCAACTAGTCTGCATCTACCAACATGGCTTAAACTAGAAGTTAGTAACTTTACAGACTGTTACATCAAACTAAGATAAAGTAACTATTCACTGCTTTCAGGCTTCCACTAGTGATCTAACTTAGATCAGTTTGTGATTTAATTCATCAGAATTGGTTCATTTAATTTATCAAAATCTAATTCTTTAGTTACTATTTCCCTTTTCAATAAGAAACTATTTATCTTTTTTTTAGGAAAATGAACTCAAATCATTATTAACTGATTTACAAGAAACTATGGAAAATAAATTAGATCGGGATGAAATGGAACAATTAAGAGAATGGTTAGAGAAACGATTTAAATCAATAAATAAACGTTTAAATTCATTTACAAATGATACATCACCAACTAGACAAATAACCGATGATGCTGCTGGTTTAAAACGTAGTCTTATGCAACATTATCATTGTATATCATGTGATCGTCCATTAGAGGTTGCTTTAAGTCAAGAGTAAGTTGAACAAAGAGAAAGTTGGATCTCCTTTTTTTCTTTGTTAATAAAACATTTATTCACAATTACTGACTAGTGATATATCATTGTAACTGTCTTTAAATGATAAACTAGTAAGAGTGTGGTGTGTGTGCTACTTATATTGACATAAGTAGTATATGATGTTAGTTGTGATCAGAAGGTCAGGAAGCAGAGAGACAAGAGGATCGAACAGTAATGAATGGAAACTGAACGGAATTTATATGAAAATACATTCGATTGTCCTCACTGGTGTTCTTGTTCACTGCAAGAGTAATGTAATGTAGGGATGTGTTTGAAACTATCTCAGCCAATTTCCATCAATCGTTACCCAATCCGATAATAAATTTTGTAAATAGATTGGTTGTTCAGAAGAAAAAAAAACTTATATTGTAGTGTACGAATGATCAGTTGAAGTGATTAATTTGTTGTCGAGTAAATCAATCAAAATGTGAAAATCTGTGAATGTGCACCGCTGAGGAGGACAAAACAGTCGTCCAGTGTTCTCGGGTTTTCAATTAGTTCATGATCTCAATTAAATCTCCACAACCCTATACTGATAACATTTATCTTTTGAGTTCTTACAATGATATTCAATTAGATAGCAGATAAACAATGGTTGATTAAAATGTAGTTTAGAAATGACTGATCTTATTTTTAACTTACCGTTTTTCCAATGCCTATAAAACTATTAGACGTTGTGAAATATCAAGGAACACAAAAGATGAACTATGATAGTTCTTTAAAATGGTTAAATTAGATAAAGTAAGTGATTAAGCTTGGTTTTAGGATATGAACCAGTAAATATCTATAAAAGATCCTATAAGTTTCTTGATTGATTGACTTAGCGATCTGTTGATACTCATTGTTAATATTCACTGTTTCCTACTTTGTAACTAAAACATCAGTCAATGTAGGAGGAATAATAGGAATTGAGGAGGGAAGTTGATTATGAATACAATGTTCTTGAGTGCTGTTAGAGGTATGAGGGTAGTTATCAATTCCTGGTTGCCTATACCGTGGAAAGGTTCTTCTGGAGGAACATGAAAAGAAAATTGGATTAGAGGTGGTCTTAGTGACCTGAGAACGTGATCGCAGTACCCAAGGGACAACTGCTTGAGGTCGCTCACACACAACCTGATATCTGAAATTGTTTGACTCAATATAGTACTTGGAAGATTACAAGTGAGATATTGTCTGTCTGTATAAAGTTTCAAGTGGATTGCTCTTTATATCTGTTTACCAATAATAATGACAATCGTTCCATCAAATGAATATTTAATCGAATTTCAACAATTTATTCAAATATCGATGGAGTCTTGTTCTCTGATCTGAATGATTTGGTCGTGGAGCATTCATCATTCTACTGAATGACATCATTAGCACAAACTTCTATTTAAATTTCATCTTAATATATTTTATCTTACTAGATATGCTAAACTTAATCTCTTTGTGCTAACCCAATATGGTAACTTTGATGAACTCACATTTATACCAAACCTTACATGAATGATCAGTAACTGATTGACCTGAAACTGTGATCTTTTAAAAAAGGAACTCTTTATGTACATTAGTAACCAGCCTGTTAACGGAATATAGATTGGATTAAGGTATATTCCGTGCAGGATTGTGTTGTTGCATGCTAATTGACCAGTTCTTATCCAATCAAAGTTAGTGGATACTTGGAGAAAACTCTAGAATCTTCTCATGTAGAGATTATCAATATACTGACATTTCTCTTATTGTACTACTTAATTCCATCTACTCTTTTTATTTGGAATAGAATTTCGTTCTTGTTCAACCTTGTTCTAATTTGGGAACTTGTTGAATGAATTGATGTTCAAGAATACTAAGCAATAAGAATAGCTGGGTTGTAATAAAAGAAATTATAGTACAATTTTAAATGGTTATAAAGAAAAATCCTGATTTAATGGTATATACTGGTTGATTTAATAATCATCTAATAGGAGATTTATCAAACCTTATCCGATCTTAGTATCCAATATCCAATGTGACCTTCTACTTTAGTGGCCCTTTGATCTGACTCCATTCAGAGTGTATGGAAGATGGCTGGGATGCCAACTCCATTTTAGTCAGGCATTACTCAATATTTATAGTCAGACAAAATAAACTACAGACATGTGATTAATGGGATAAGAAGGGTACACACATATGCGCTCATATAAAAACAATCAAGACTAACAAGCGAATAATTGACAAGGTCAACATATGACTCAAGTAGAATGAATAGAATGAAATGTCCGAAACCTAGAATAAGGTATATGGGCTTAACACGGTAACTGATACTACACTACTATTATCAATATATGATAACATTTGATCTGTTTCATTCTTCTCTTCATTATTTACTTCGAATTTCCTACTGAGATTAGTTGAACATTGATGAATAAATAGTGAATAGTAGAACTCGTTCAAACAAATAACTTAAATATTTATATGTTTAATTTAATAGATATTTAGGCAGTTACCCAGCTGATAGTCGAGGATTTCCAATGAATAAATCCATACGACCATATACTACATTCGATTTAGAAAGTTTACGTCATCAAATACAAACGTAAGTTATTAGTTATCATGAGATTCTCTCTCCTTTATTGTTCCTTTTCTTTTTCTCTCTCTTGCTCTCTCTATTCGATTTCTAACATATTCAATGTAGTAAAGTGTAATTACTTATTGATTCTTTAATCCATTCCTCTCTGAAAGAGAGTTACTGTTTGTTTACGCATGTAATCAAGTAATCTATGACAATTTAATACAAATAATCTCTTTAATAACTACATGATTGACTTAATAAAGTTGAACTATTCTATTGAACAGTGTTGAAGATCATGGTTAGTTTTTGTCACTTAGAAATCAAACCGGTGAGACTATAATTTATGAACGACCTATGAGTGACGCTAAAATGACATTGAGTGTGTCCACCTAAATGAGGGTTATAAACCTGTGTGACGAATCGGAATTATGATTTACAGTTGATGATTATGGTTAGGAATTAGATTTAGGGGGTTTTCATCACTAACTTACATCAGCTTTATTGCCAAAACTTTATTTATTCCGATGGATGAGTGAATTTCTCGCCAAAATCCAAGACTTGTCATCTTATACGTGATTGGTTCGTCCATAAATTATAGTCTCGTCATTTATGATTGTATTTTAACTGTTAGAGTTCTAGATTAGGATTGAAGAACTTTTTTTTATGTAATATATACTAAATTTTAATTCGAAACTGAAATACTACTTATAACCCTAACATAAACTTCAATACTAAGCATAATGAATATTGAATTGAATTGTCATCTCATTCTAAATTGATTTAATCATCATGACTTGGAAGTTGTTCCCTTGATCCTAATTGATTCAGTAGTATATTGTAACTCATTCTCAAATGTTTGTATGATAATTAGAAATAGATTCTAGAAAATTCATAAAATCTTTTGGGTTGATTATGGACATAATGAATGGAGGAAATTGTCATCTATTTTAGTAAGACCGAAGAACAGTGAATGCATAATTCTAAATAAGAACGATATCGAACCTACTTTAATGAAGAAGAAAAAACATTCAATGGATCCAATTTCATTGTGCTTTCTTATCACCATTTATTATATATTTATTTTCAGAAGGGGTTTGTGGAGATTTTAGAAATTTTCACAGATTTAAATCATGAGTCAGTTGAAGCTAGACCACCATTGAAAACCTGGAAGCACTGGACGGCCGTTTCGTCCTAGTATGGGACTCCTCAGCAGTGCGCATCCACGATCCCGCACCGGTTTAGTGATCTAATGGTTAAGTGCTCACGCGCAAAGCCAGTAGGTCCTGGGTTTGAGCCCCGCGCGATGCGGGATCGTGGATGCGCACTGCTGAGGAGTTCCATACTGGGACGAAACGGTAGTTCTGTTCTTCCAACTTTTCCATGGTGGTCTAGCTTCAACTGACTCATGATTTAAATCTGTGAATATATTTATTTAAACACATAAACATTGGTACAAAAAGACACCGAAAATATGTATGCCTAACAAACCATTTGATTTGTGTGAGGTCTGGAATACTAACCAGGTGTACAAATCGAACCAGGTGGTTTTTTAGTAGGTCGCTCCCTTAGCTTTTGACCTAAAGCTCTAGTCCACAAGGTAGTGGAGCAATGTAAGGAGATGCAGTCTCATGGTAGCCGGTGCATACGCCATTTATTTCCTTAGCATCCTGGAACCCATGTTCATCGATGATTTCGACATTCACATTTCGTCTTCTCAATTTCGTAACCAATATTCCCACCACGAGAAGGAAGTGAGTAGGACTTACGTGGAATTAGTTGTATGCACGTAGCCATAAGAGAGTATTTAAACAGGGAGAGGTAACTCTCCCCACTCTCGGCTGTACCAGAGCATTTGAGGGGCTTATTACCAACTCACTGAGAAAATAATTAGAGAATGAGATGAATTTTGAAAAATGATCTAATTTCTGAAGACATAACAAACTACCCAATAGGAAATCATTCAGATCATCTATTAGTATAAAATAGACTGAAATGAATTAGAAATTCATAGTAAAGTACATTAGTTGTCTGTTATTTCTTTAATATTTCTTAATAATGATTTAATTTAACAGTTGAATTCATGAGTCAATCAAAGCTAGACCACTATGGAAAACCTGGAAACACTGGATGGCCGTCTCATTCTAGTATGGAACACCCCAGCAGTGTGCATCCACGATCCTACCGCGTGAGGTTCGAAACCAGTACTTAACAGTCTCACACACAAGCTCCTAACTTCTGCTATGGAGTTCCATACTAGGACGAAACGGCCGTCCTGTTCTTCCAACTTTTCCATAGTGGTCTAGCTTCGATTGACTCATGAATTCAACTATTAGAATTACTACAATCTCCACAAAACCCCTTCTGATACTAATTTTTAATTCATTAAAGTGAAGTATGCATAGAAGAAGGAAAAAAACGATGACAATCAGGGATACTCTTATATCAATGAAGCTACGTTTTTTTCTCTTACCTATATAAAACTCTTTTTATAATATAAGCTTTGGTACTGTATAAAATGAAGTGGGTAAGCTTAGAAAAGGGATTTGAAAGATGATAAGGGGTCAGACACAAATACACACACACACACACAAAGAATTGAAGAAATCATAGAAGTAGAAGATCAAAGTAAAGGATCATTTACTGACCGAAATTTGTTTATTTTTCTGTGTGTGTGTGTGTGTGATATTTTCCAAATCAAAATCCTCAATAGAATGTAAGAGAGAAACTAATTGAGATACAATTAGATCTAGATCATAATTGAATATATCACTAAAACTAAATAAGTAGTTTATTTAGATTACTATTAGGATAGTTACATAATATACAGACTAGAATATTCTATAAACTATTGTAGTATACTATTTGTATTGTCTCGAGTGCACATATATACATGGTCCTACGTTGTAACTGACTGACTGTCTGACTGACTGACCATTATAGAAAGGAAAGAATACTATTCAAAGCCAAATGTTTTTCTACCTTAAGTTATTGATAACAAGAAATAAGTAGTTGATATACGAATCGTCAACAATTGAATAAGTGAAATTAAATTACTATGAAAATGTCATTAGTACTTATGACTGAATAAAGTTTAACTATTCTATATAGTAAGTAGTAGTATAATATTTCCAACAATATTCATTCAATATAATAGACTAATTTTAAGGGTTACTTCTTTGATATTTTATCAATGAATAACATTGAATAATGATGGCTCATTATTGCCAGTCAACTGAAGTTAGAAATGTAAGTTAGTTTTCGAATAGTTGAATGCAGGTGACTTTCTTAAGGGGCCACATTCCGAGTCGGACATTCGCTTCTCGTCTTCTCAATTTCGTAAGCAACACCCCACCACCACGAGAAGACAACGAGTAGGATTTTCCTGGCGGCAGCTATATATGCGTGGCCATGTGAGAGCATTTCAAGAGGGAGAGCGGACTCTCTCCATTTTCAGCCGTACCAGGGCATTTGGGGGCATTATGAGTCCTATTGTACGACGAAATAGATATCCAGTCCTTTCAAGTCTTTCATACTTGTTTAGCTTAGTTTGATTCGTGATATTAGTAATATTCAATAATCTACAATCCGATGCTGATAGTAGTGCATGTAACTGATACAATAGAAATAGTGCTACAATTAGTCAATCAGTCAAACAATAAACACACGTTACTGGCCAATATTTGGCTTCCCTTACTAATAAACGAGACAAACACTATTTCAATAGTTGAGATCATGAGTTAGGCCATTATAGAAAAACTGGAAGCACTGAACAGTCGTTTCATCCTATTGTGGGACTCCTCTACAGTGCGAGATTCGAACCCAGGATCTTCGGTCTACCTTCCATCGATCCATAAATGACTGCGCAACCATTCTTTCATTGTCTGAAGTAGAAACCTGTTTCTGCCCAACACGGATTGAACTCCACAAGTCATGGCTTCTCACTAGAACTCTACGAAATCCATCTTGAAGCTAGTCACTAGCGAGCATATGACAATTATTATTAGAATAGGGGTTTGTGAAGAGCATGAATGTTTACTTCTGAAGAGTCCCATACAAGGACAAAACTGTCATCCAGTATTTCCAATTTCTCCATGATGATCTAGCTTATATCGACTCTTAAATCCAACAATTAAAATATATTTTCCTCATCAGTTTCTTTTCTATCTTTAAAATATAGATAATAAACTTTTTCATCACAAAAGTCAAAACATTTTAATAAAAATTTAATTTTCCCGACAAGCTCATTCATAATAGTGGATATAAGATTTAAAATGTTATTCAAAATAAACTAACACTTATTATAGGTATACATAGCAAACTTGAACTTGATAAACCCAGTTGGTGTTGTTTACTTGAATCGCCTCATTGTTATTTAAGACTACAATTGATCAATCTCTTGTTGGTCTATGTGCGCCCTATAGGGATAGCCCCGATATTGCTTCAATTCACAAGCATTATATCTAGAGATGGATAGTGGTTAGTAGTGGAAGCCAGGACTTACGTTTCATCCTATTTGGGATTCGTCAGTTGGATGTACCTGTATCTCAAAATTGATTTTAACAAGCAGGTGGCTATCAGGACTCAATAGTTAAGTAGATAATTTGATGGCGTTTGAAGAGAACTGTCCTGAGTTTGAGTTCCAGAGTGAACAATAACTCTGAAATGCAGGTACATCCGGCTGACGAGTCTCAAATGGAAGGAAACGCGCGTCCTGAATTCCACTGCTATCCATTGTTGAACTTGATAGTTTCAAATGAATTGAGCATTGGATAGAGAGTTAATAATAAATATAATTTTTCTCATATCATAATGAGTAGAAAAATTGTATTTTCGACTTTTGTGTTAAGTTATTGTCGATTATTTATACATTTACTCTGACGAAGTGGCTTATTTAAGTTACGAAACATCAAAAATACATTTTTTCTACTCTTTAGGATATAACAAGAAAAACTACATTCATTATTAATATTTATTATCTTTCTCCTGATTGGTTAGTTTTATTCACAATAAAAAATATTAATCATAATAGTTAAGATCATTAATCAATTAAAACTAGAATACTATAGATAACGTGGAAGCACTGGATGACCGTTTCATCCCATTGTGGAACTCCTCAGTAGTACGCATCCTTGATTTCGCCTCACAAGATTCGAACCCAACACTTATCAGTCTTACACGCGAGTGCCTCACTTCTAGACCAATAATATTTCATCATTAATATTTGTCATATCAAGGTCTAGATGGTGTGTCGAGTTCTCTTGAAAATCAATGTAGAATTACCCTAATTCATAAGGGTATACTATTACGTAACTAATTGAAATAATTTTTCATAATGAAATCATATATATATCTATCTATCTATATTACTATTTTACTTTTCATCTATTTTGTCTACAGACGATCTAATAAAGCATTTTATGTAGATCCACCATATAGACGGTAATTATTACACCATTTATCATTTATTTATTTTCACTTATATTATCATTAATGAATGCACCAAAATCATTTATAAGAATTTATTCTTTCGATCGATTGGTTACATTCCAGGATTTTTTTTGTGTTTTTTTTGTTTTATTCAACATTTGTCAACATTTTCCATCATCCTTAATTATCTCTCTCTTCAATCTCCCTATTTTCTATTTTGATTCTTTTTTTGTTTGTTTGTTTTCGTTTGTATCCCTGTGATCAATGTGTGTGTATATGACATTTAAATGTGTGCTAATATTAGAAAATCTATACAAAATTGATATTGATTTATAATGTGAATAAATATGATTATGTGTGTGTGTATGTATGTGTGCAAAAATTGTGAAATTCATCAGAATTTTATTTTTGATTGAGATCATGAACCGGTTGATGTTAAACCACCGTTAGAAACTAGGAACCATCGGATGGCCGTTTTGTCCTATTGTGGGACTGCTCAGCAGTACACATCCTCGATCCCGCCCGCGCGACTCGAACCCACGGCCTTCAGTTTCGTGTGCGAACGCTTAACCTACTAAACCACTGAGCCAGCATGTAATGGTGTGAATTTCTAACGTCAACCAATGCACAAAATTGCGCGATTATCTTTCATTGTACTGAAGTAGATATCTATCTCTACCCGACACGGATTAGCTCCACTGGTCGTGAATTCTCACTAGAACTCTGAGAATTCCCTCACGAAGCTAGTCACTAGTCAGTACATGTTAATTACCAGTATAGTAGTTGTGGTGATTATTAGGAATTTCATTGAGGATGATACAGGTATTCAGTGTTTGACAACGCTTCTACCAGTAACACCTTCTAATATGCTTTGTTCCCACCGAGAGAAATCAAAAGACAGAGTCGAGGAGATCGGAAGAGTGTATTTGGCGATAACCAATATATCGGGAATCTCTGATCTAATCTGGCTAGTGATTGCGGTTGATGTTGAGCACAGCGTTACAGCACGTGATCTGGTGCGGATGCATGACCGAGCGCCTTCAGCTAGATGAGTCCACTAAAACATATGGTCAGCATCCAATGTCGAAAACCTACAGAGCTATTTAGTTTAGGGATTTATTTACCGCTACAGATCACTCCCCCCCTAGTGGGGCAGTGATGACCCTAAGACGTGGCCAGCCAGAAGTTTAAACCCAACGAGTTTGTCGTTGGTAAACACTCTTCTGATAGCTTACTAAATTTAGCAGCGTCTGGTCGTCTTTCCTTACTATATGGGACCGGGGTACAACATAGTAAAATAAGAAATGTACAATGAAAATTTCGGATCCTCATAAACATCATCGTTCTTTTCCAGCCGTCCTGGAAAAGAAGAAAGAAAATGTAAGTGCATGTCGAAAATACACTCGTATGTGCGTAAAAAAGGGAAAATAAACTCATGAACACGTAACAGCGTTAAAAAAAATCGTTTTTTTTGTTTTTTTGAAATAGAAATGAAAATATATAAGCCTATTAAAAAAAATTTATTTTTTAATAATATAGAAAATGTCGAGAAGTGCCTTACGTGCAATATGCGTTTAAATGTTCTGGAAATCTCACTCTTCTTCCAGAACGCGTCGTTTTAAGTTTATTTTCGGATACTGTCGAAGTATCATCGTGTGTGTTGGTTGTCGGCTGAGGCATTATAAGTGTCGGAGTCGTGTCGTTCAATTGTACCAAAGGAAAATCCACGTAGATAGGATTTCCTTCTAAATACGCTGGTTTGAGGCGATCGATGCTGATGCTATCGTTGGTTCCGTTTTTATCGATAATATAGTACTTCGGTTCGCGTTGAAGAACTTTGAAAGGTCCTTCGTATGCTGATTCGAAAGGTCGTCGATGCGAGTCTCGACGAACGAAAACGTGTGTACTATATCGTAAGTCAGGTTGAATGAAAACATCAGTTGATTGAGGTCGAGTGGAAGCAGGTTTAACTGAACGCATTGCGTTTGTAAGCCTGTTCGTGTAGGAGGTTAGATCCATGTTCATTGAAGAGGATGAAGGATCCACGAATTCTCCTGGAAGTCGAAGTGTCGTTCCATAAACGAGTTGAGCCGCAGTGTATCCAATGTCAGCTTTCACTGCATTGCGGGTACCTAGTAAGACGAGTGGAAGAGCGTCGGTCCACTGTGAAACGTTTGCAGCTGATAGTGAAGCTTTGATTAAAGTTACATAACGAATAAGTTTCTCTTCAAGTGTGTACTATTCATAAATTGTTTCTTTCCAAAAGTCTAGAGAATTTCAATAGTCGAATTCATGAGTTGATTAAAGCTAGACCACTATGAAAAACCTGAATGCACTGGACAGCCATTTCGTCCTAGCACGGGAATCCTCAACAGTTCTCAATCAACATTCTACATGCAAGACTTGAACCCAGGACTTTCGCTCTCATGCGCAAACAAGTGGAATCCAGTCGATGTCGGAAAGATACTGTTATCCACCGAAGACAAGAGATGAAGAGTTGCTCATGGTCATGGAATGATTAAAGTTAGGCTTTAAAACCATTGGATTCAGGCTTAATGGTCTAGGGGGGTAAGTATTGGCCAGAGAGACCAAAGGTCGGGATTCCGAGGCCCACTTGAGGGATTGTGAAAGAACACTGCTGAGGAGTTCCATTCTGGGACGAAACGGCTGTCCAATTCAGCCAATTTATTAATGGTGGTCTAGTTTAGATTCAACTATTATCATTAAACTACAAGTTGAACAGAGATGGCTGGTGGCCAGCAATGGGATCTAAAGCTCACGTTTCGTTCTATTCAAGACTCATTTACAAGATTTGCTTGCTGTAAACATGGTTGATATTTACTCTTGAACTTGAAGTCAGTACTGTTCACTTCAAACGCTATCATATCATCCACTTAGCTACTGAGTTCGGATATTCACTGGCTTATGTAGTGGGGTGGATTTTAATCCATTTTTGGATTGATTTTTTGGATCTCCCGTTCATATTTAAGACTGTAATTGATCAATCTTTTTTAGCATGTCGTTGTTCGAAATACATATGAATACAAGCTGAACAAGTTATACAAACCTTTTATTCTAATAAACAATTCAGTGGTCTTGTTTAACGGCATTTGCAACAACGTTACTTACTTACTTATGCTTATTACTCCTTGTGAAAGTGTATAGGCCACCCACCAGCATTCTCCATCCAACCTTGTCCTGGACAATCCTTTCCAGTTCTTTCTACTTGTTATTCATCCTTTTCATATCTGCTCCCGATGCCCGACGTAGTGTGTTCTTCGACATTCTTCTTTTCCTTTACCCTTCAGGATTCCAAGTTATGGCTTTCCTCCTGATGCAGTTTAGTGATTTCTGTAATGTATGTCCTATCCACTTTCAAATTTCCTTTTCAGATGGAATCTGGTTTGTTCTGTTCTACAGAAGACTGTTGCTGATGGTATCTGGCCAACAACGGATATTGATTATCTTTCATAGACAACTGTTAATAAATACTTGTTCCTTCTTGATGATTGTTGTAGTAGTTCTCCACGTTTTAACTCCATACAATAGAACTGTCTTAACGTTCATATTGAAGATTGTGACTTTGATATTGGTTGACAACAACGTATTATATACATATATTTTATTAATATAACTTATAACATCAAGATGTTCATAATTTAACACTGATAATCTATTCTCTATTATTTAGACCAGATGGTAATTTCAATGATTCACTAAATTACCTACTTAATTACTTACTTACTTACTTAATGGAATCCAAAAATTAAAAAAAATCTCACCGACAAATCGGTACATACATTGGTATCTAAGTAATTTTTAAACTTATGACATTGTTTATTATGTCTTATGTAAATTCTAATCTCTAAGCCTATTTTAATACATTTCAACAATACACACACACACACATTGTACCATATTCCTTTGTATAGTTAATGGCAATGCACCTGTTTACCCATTTATTTATCTGTATGTAGTATAATGTAATGTGCACGGGTTTTTCTTTTCTTTCACACGTATACAAATGCTTGATAATTCATATGAATTAATGTCATCTATTAAGTGACCTGTAAAGTTTTTACATTCTGAAATTAACGCATGTATAGTTATTTTCATTGTTTAAATTATCACTAAAGATTTAAAAGCACTAAGCTATTGTTTCTTTATGACATTGGACTCTTCAGTAGTATAAATCACCATTTAGCATCCAGGATTCGAACACAGGGCAATCGATCTTTTATGTAAACTATTGGATTATAACCAATATCTTACATGACTTATCATCTAGTGCCAATCTAGAACATCATTCTGTAAATCCTCATCTCTACAAATGCAATTGTACTGATAAAATCATTATGTTAATGATATATGTAAAGGTGGATGGCGGTTAGCAGTGGAATCCAAGACTCAAACTTCGTTGTATTTGGGACTCGTCCGATGGATGTATCTGTAGCCGAATCGATATCTACTTCAGGATTCGAACTTAATCCTGTTTAGTTTGGATGACATCGCATTATCCATATAACTATTAAGTCCCAATAACTACTAACTAGCCCCTTATCCGCCTTTACTTATAATGCTTATAACTTAAGACAATATCAAGTTAATCTACATAGGATGAACATATATGTCAATAAGAAACTGACCAATTGCAGTCCTAAACATCAATCGATAGATACAAACAAACAACATGAAATGAATTCAAATGTTAATTTAATAAACAACAAGATACAAATCAAAACAATGTTGTTATTTCTAAAGAAATTAGACAAATAACATGAAAATGATTTCAACATTCTATGATCAACAATAACAATAATCTCGATATTTTAAATAGCCAATTCATGTTCTATCTGTCTATGGATATATATATGTTGAATGTAATCAATGTACGTTGTAGGCAGGAGCCTTCTAAGTAAAAGGTTACATTAATACAATTTCATACTGTTATTTTCCCCATTTCTTTCTTTCGTTCTTTCTTTTGTGAATCAGATATAATTGTAATTATTATGATGTTTATGGTGGTACACCACGTCAATGTGGTGGAACGCATACAACTGCACCATCGTCCAAAAGGAAATCACGTGCAACAACGTGTAAAAGGTTAATTTTCTAAAACATTTTGTTGCCATCTGATATTTGAACTAATTTGATTAAGTGTTTTGTTTTATTGATAATACCACTTGTTAAATTTAATTGCCAAAATATTTACCCGGAGCTCTCTACAAATTTTTACGGACTGTCCGATGTGTATGCTTATGTACAGGAATTGAGTAGGTTTTGGCTTGTATGGTTTATGTATGTTGGTAATATGCAAAGGGTAAGCAAGTGGGTTAGTACAAGAAACGTAAGCTGAAAAAATGCCTACCATATGTTTAATAAAATAAGCGGTCTAAACATATGATGGTAAATACTAGGGAGAGGTGATAATCAACCTTCCCTGAAAGAGTGTTTATGCTTATTTGTATGTCATCAAGTTCAAGAGCGATAGCCTTTGTGCTAATGATATCCATGTAATTCGTAAGTGACGGTTAGTTGTAGTAAATATGCTCAAAGGGAATGGTGACCATCTACCCTCCCAGGTGATGGAATATACCTATATGTATTCTATGGGATGCATGACTGATAACTTATGTGTTACCGGTACGCATATAGACTATACTTTTCCATGGTGCGACGCCCGCGCGCCAAGACCTAGGAATAATAATTTCCTCACAAAATAATATTCACATGGCTGGTTTAACGAACCTTAACATGTCTGCAATACCGTACCGTATCAATTAATTTATAATATAAGTAGCTTACCTAGAAGATAACTGCCTAATCTATAAGATCTTATGTGGAAGTCACATTATTATCTACAACTCATCGTGTCGTAACAATAACCAATATATGATGAAGAACATACTTAGGCTAGAGATAGAACAATATATTTAATATGAATGAAAGGTATATGTTAAGACTCAATAATGATCATACCTGAAAGGTCAAGTCATGCCATCCGATGGATTCGAACTCATTCCAATCATTGTTCCCGCCTTCTTCATCGTTGGGTTTATCTCCGTGTTAAATGTTGAACATCTTGTTTTCTCGCGACATGTTTAACACTATCATTTCATTGATACGTTATGGATATGATCATTCTCATCTATTGACTGTATAAATCACAACTTTCTATCAAAACTCTAATATTTCTAACTTTATATTAACTGTCAGTAAAAGATCATTGGTCAATGAACTGATCTAGTCAGACTGATGTTGTCAATATTATTCAAATCTAAATTTTAATTATTAGATCTTAAATTACAACTTATTGAGACAATTCTCTCATGAAGAATAATGAAACTTATTTCAACCAACCTACTGATATTTCTATTTTTCGATTGATTAACCGAGTTTAGACATGGTATCTAAGGGCCGAACGATAGGTTACTTACTTATGCCTGTTATCCCTCATGAAGGAGCATAGGCCGCCCAACAGCACCCTCCATCCAACCCTGTCCTAGGTAATGCTTTCCAGTTGTTATTCATCCTTTTGATATCTGCTTCTATTTCCCGACGTAGTGTGTTCTTTGGTCTTCCTTTTTTCCGCTTCCTTTCAGGTAAAAGACTATAAACAATGCATACTGGTGGAGAATACCTATAATGCATTTAATCATGGTCTTAGCTTATATTTCCTTGTCTGGGCTAGAAGGACTGATGTACACTTAACTAGGATTTGTGTACACATTATTCGGTTTGTTAGCTATGGCTTTTTAGGCATTTCTTAGTTTTTCACTGGCAGAATAGATTGAATAATCGTGTTTACCTGCATCAGTGGAACTAATTTTGTCCTATATAGCTTAAGCTTTCCAATTATTGGTTACCAAAACGAAATGAGCCGCAAAATGGATCTGTGCACTTCGAAATATATTTTAGTATAATAGTTAATACCTTCGTGAATTGATGCCAAATTTCGATTATCTTACAGTCGGCCTTTGTCACTTCAACTTAGAGAGACTAAAGTGAATTTGATTTTTATTTAACAGTTAAGTTTTGTAGCCCAGTCAACAAAGTTCCAATTCATGATTCTCATGAGATTCAGTAATCAGCTTGTTACGTTCTAAGTTTTGATCTAATAAACAACATACTCTCATATTTCCATGATCAATCCATATATTAAAACAATATAACATTTTAATTATTTTCATTTAGCTCTCTTCATGATGGTGATGTCACAACAAAGTCTTCCATTCCATATACTCACAGGTAATCCGAATTTTATGGAATTTTGTATCATTAAAGCAGATTAATTGTTGAAATGATGAAGTTATTCACTTATGCAATATAATTTTATTATCTTATATACTACTACTACCACTACTACTGATGTTGTTATTATTTCTACAACTGTGGGATTTATGTTGATAATTTCACCACTCTGTTTTATTGTAGTAGTTATACATGTGCCAAGTTTTACGTTACACTTGACTAATTGACTAAACACTGAAAACCAAGATGAACCAAACAGATTTCAAACATAATATGTGATTCCATGGTGGTACTCACCCACAATCATATCAGCAACAGAATGTAGAACCTTCGGGTCACACGTCAAACATTGTCACTAGGACCCCTAAGTTGGCGTCCGGTTTTAATCATCTCATGTTATAAAATTATGATCTCCCAATGAGATTGGTGACAACAGTTATACTAGAAGCCTCCAGAGGGAGCTGAAATTCTTGACTTCGAATCTGAGATAGGTCGTGAATAATCACTGCTGAGTAATCCCATAATGAGATGGAAATGTTACCCAATCCTCTAAGGATTTTATTCATTTTTTTGAACACATGAAATTGGTACAAAGGGACACCGAATACATATGCGTCACACAAGTCTTTTAATTTGTGTGTGAACTATGATACTGTCCGGGTGTCCAGATCATACCAGATGTATTTTCTTAAGGGACAATTCCTCGAGCCTTTGACCTAAAGGTTTAATCCACATGGCAGTGGAGCAACGTAACAAGATGCAGTCCCATGGTAGCTGGTGACCAACAATATGTTCATACGCTAATTTTTCCCTCGGGATTCTGGAATCCATGCACACCATTGGTTTGGAATCAGGGTTTTCAAACTCTCCTATGTAGACTATCCGTATTCACCAACCCGGTTAGAGTGATGGATTCTTGCTACGCATCAATTAAAAGACAGGTCAAAGTCGATCTAGTCTCTGATTCCTTAAAAAAAGAGATAAACGACCGTGAGGTCAGAAATAAAGCCCAGCAATAAGTTAACTAAAATAAAAGTTCAGACAACAACCACAAAATTTTGGACAATAACTAATCAAATCTCAGGAAGAAAACAAAGTATTTGTCAATTGTAGAGCAATTCATTTCGAAGTATGTACTGATTTTACTATCTAGAAAGACGACGAAAACTTCACAACTAAACTATTCAGTTCAGAAGACACAACACTTTCGACCTCGTTCTCCTGAATTAAAAATGTTCTTCATCATCTTTAGTGTCTATTTAGTTTGTTCTTGTTTTGAGTCGAAATCGTCTTCTTTTTGTTTTATAGAGAAACTCTTAATTTACAAGGTATGGATGGTCATATCTATCGTGGTTCGCCAATACAAGAAAGTCAACATTTAGTAAATAATAATGATTTGTTAGCAGGGAAAGATGAAGAGAATTTAGATAAAGATTCTGATCGAAATGAAAAACTACCACCAGTTTCAAAGTCAAGTCGTTATGTCAATACAGTAACAGCTCGACCTCAAGTAAGAGAGATACGTTTTCTGATGCGTTTTTTCGGGTGTGTTTTCTTAATTTGGTGAATATGTTGGGGATGGTTGGAAGAAAGTTTGGGGCTGCAAAACTAAAAAATAACACGTTCTTGAAGTTACTAAACTCTAGTCTGAGCCATATTGGTAGATGCAGACTACTTGGTTGGAGTCCACAAGACTTCGTAACCAAGGGGCAGAGACTTTGGGTGACATGTCTCAGAATAGATCACAGTGGTGTAGGTGTATACACTCTTTGTTGAGATCAGCAGTTAATTGAAGTTAAACAACCATGGAAAAGCTGAAAGCACTGGACGGCCGTTTCGTTCTATTGTGGGACTCCTCAACAGTACTCATCCACGATCCTGCCTCACAAAATTCGAACCCAAGACCTATCGGTCTCGTGAGCGAACGCTTAACCTCTAGAACACTGAGCCGGCATCCAATGATGTTAATAACTACCTCCAACTAATCAACGGAATTGAGCAACACACCAACCATTATCTTCAGTGAGTCACTATCTGCGCACTGTCGAGGAGTCCCACAGTAGAACGAAACGGCCGTCCATTGCTTCCAGGTTTTCCATGGTGTTCTAGCTTTAATTAACTCATGATCTCAACTATTCAAATTAATTAATAGTAAATAATTCCCACTAATCGTAACAACCAACAGTTGTTCTATTCGATTTTGAAATTCAACACTTGTAAGTAACTGATTACTAAGTAGTAATCACAGCTATGTTTTTTTAGCCCTTTAAAATTGATCGAGTTCTACAAACTACGTTGAAATATAGCTGCTAGTTTGAATAATCTGACATATAAACACATAACATCTTAATATACTGTATATGATCTCAAAAGTGGTATTGATTGTTACTCAATGTATAGGTGATCACTCACAACCCGATCAATGGTAACAGCTTAAAATGTGAAGTTGTACCACTCAAATTAGAATCACACACAGAGTATCAGTCTATTCAAAAACAAACATACACTCTGTTAATGAGTTCCAACTAGTATGAAACCTATATGAAGCAAAGTATTCCATCAAGTATCTTCTCCATTGTACATCTCAATTTAAAAAAAAAAAACATTGGCTCATATGAAATCGAACCCAAAGCCAGATTTCATCAAGAGAATATTATGATACAAGTTAACTATTGGTTTCCCTTATCCGATTCTATTCAATCTAATAATATTCATTATTATTTTCCAATATGCAACATCTTTGTTTTTAGAATGAGTTTTGTGGCGAATTTTAGGAAATTTCACAGGTTGAAATCATGAGTCAATTGAAGCTAGACCACCATGGAAAACCTGGAAGCACTGGAAGGCCGTTTCGTCCTAGTATGGGACTCCTCAGCAGTGGGTACCGCGATCCCGCACCGCGGGATTCGAACCTAGGGCCTACTGGTATCACGCGCGAGCACTTAACCACTAGACCAACGAACCGGTCGGCATCCAAAGGTGTTAATGTTTAACTTCCACTAATCCACAAAATCGAGTGACACATCCACCATTGTCATCAGTGAGTTACTATCTCACAATTGACCCGGTTGAACTCCATGAACTCAATTTCGTGGATTAGTGGAAGTTAGACATTAACATCGTTGGATATCTATATTTGTCTAAAATTCTAGTTTAGATAAATATTAATTCATTTAAATAGTTTAAATAGTAGTGTTAGACAGTATTAATTGTAAAGTGTTTACTTTGTCTATTTTTCTTTTTCTTTATTGATATGTAAATAGTTTGAATCATTTTTTAGGATGGATACTATTTTAAGAGTAAGAGCTAAAACACTTAGGTAGTTTTTTCTAAACTTTGAATAACCATTTCTTTCCATAAATGTCACTTCACTAACGATCGAGGTAATTAGAATGGCTATTAAACAAATCAAGAGTGGGAAAGTAGTAAGACTTGATAATATACCAGCTGAAACTCTGAAATCGGACATTGAAATAACTGCAAGTATGTATCACGTTCTATTTAGGAAGATTTAGGAGGAAGAACAAATGCTGATAGACAGGAAAGAAGGACACCTCATTAAGATACCAAAGAAAAGAAATGTGAGCAAGTGTGAAAAATCAGCTGTAGAAGAATCATATTGTTGTCATTAGCAGGAAAGGTTTTGAACAGAGTTTTGCTGAACTGGTTAAAAGACTTAATAGACACCCAACATCGAAATCAACAGGTTGAATTCCGTAAGGATTGGTTGTACACAGACCAAATCGCGACATTAGGGATCATCGCTGAGCAATCAGTTGAGTGAAACTCGTCACTAATTCATCAATTTCATTAACTAGGAAAAGGCGTTTGACAGTATAGATAAGAGGACCTTATGGAAACTTCTTTAACATTGTGGTGTACCTGAGAAGAATGTCAATATCATCCGGAATTCATACGACGGACTACACTGTAAATTGGCGCATGTAGCACAACTGACAGATGCATTTCAAGTGAGTCAAACAAGACTGCTTACTCTCGCCCTTCCTCTCTCTTCAGGTGGTCAACTGGATAATGAAGACCTCCAAATCTGAAGGGAAGCACGGAACACAACTGACAGCTTGGATGCAGCCACACGATTCGAACTTTGCAGATGACCTGATCCTCCTATCCCATGTACACGAACAAATAGAGATGAATGCAACCACTGTGACAGCAGCCTGTGCAGCAGTAGGCCTCAACATACACAAGGGAAAGAGCATGACCCTCAATTACAACACAAAGAACACCAACCCAGTCACACTTCATGGAGAAGCTCTGGAGGATGTGGAATCTTTCACGTACCTGGAAAGCATCATCAATGGACAAGGAGGATCTGATGCAGACATAAATGCAAGGATTAGCGAAGGAAGGATGGAATTCCTACAGTTGGAGAATATATGGAACCCAAAACAACGGACAACTAATGTCAAAATGAGAATCTTCAATACGAACGTCAAGACAATCCTACTGTATGGAGCTGAAACTTGGAGAACTATTACAATCATCATTAAGAAAGTACGAGTTTTTATTAATAGTTGTCTACTCAAGATACTCAATATGCGTTGACTGGATACTATCAGCAACAGTCTTCTGTGGGAGAGGACAAACCAGTTTCCAACTAAAGAGGAGATTAAGAAAAAGACGCCTGGAGTGCATACACCATACAGTGCGGAAATCATCAAACTGCATCAGGAGGTGTGTCCTAACTTGGAATCCTGAAGGGAAACTGAAAAGTGGAAGGTCGAAGAACACACTACGCCGAGAATTAGAAGCAAACATGAAAAGGATGGACAGAATCTGGAGACAACTTGAAAGGATTGTTCAGGACAGAGTTAAATAGAGAATGCTAGTGTGTGGACTATTCTCCTCCACCAAGAGTAAAAAGGCGTAAATAAGTTCAACAACCAGTGAAAACACTGGTGCTTACAAAAATATCACATTCTATGCACAAAATTGGAAGAATTTATATCAGAGATGGGCAAACATCATTATTCAGTCTCATAATCGTAAAATTACACCATCAAGTGATTGGGAAATAAACAACTAATAATATGCTTTTGGATTAATGTGATCCAAAGATCCTAGTCTACTTAATTCTGATATATACTCTTTTCTTATATTCTATTATTTCTGTTAAAAAAAGTGTTTACTTTCAAATTAAATCAAGTCTTGATTAAATACTTATTCATATGACTTTATTCTATCGTGTGGTTAGTCAACTTGAACTGATATACGTACGTACGAAGTTCTGCGTTGTCGCTAACGTACTGACTGACTCTATCATCCCTTAGTATAAAGCAATTATCCTACAATCCATTTCAAATATGATTAACTTTTGTCAAACCCTTTTATTAACTTACTTAACAGACAATGTTATTGGAACAGAAACAATTCGCATATATCTTTGTACTATTATAATCACTATCATATCGATATAAACGTTTACCTTGATCACATGACAGCCTACGTGCATATCTCTCTCTAGCTAAAATGCTAACCGCCTAAATATTGCTAGATGATTCATTCTTTTCCCCATGTATATACGTACTTGAATACTATTATTAGCCCTTGTATTGTCTAGCTGCGCCTTATTCGATTTGACTATAAATTTGCCTTTGCATTTGCTGGTATACACATACTCGGCTCTCCGCTTTGAATTCGTTTTTTATCTGTTTTATCCGCTAATAAACTGTAGTTGCCGCATCTTATTGCCATTTTATTTCAAACACTGTTTAGATTTATATAATGACAGTTACCAAAGTGATTGATTAACGAAGCAAAGCCACTACAATTAGATCGTAATTAATTTAATATACATCAGGACCCAGATCAAGAGAATATCAACAGTCTTAAACTACACTGTGCTGCTGGTGACTATAAATGACACGGGGAAATTACCTAGAGATTTATATACCCTTGCTAGTTAATTGAATACATAGATTATCAAATTGAAGAATCAATCATAAGAATCTAACAAATTTTGTTTGTACATAATGGTTACACTTAAATTAGGAGGTTTTTTTCACGTTTAATTGTCAACTCCTATGAATTCGGTGTTCATTTGTCTAGTTGACTCGACATTGCGTGCTCTATATTGAGATAGGATGGTGGTTGGAGGTATTCAACAGGATACCATGGACCCAGGTTTCTTGCTATTTGACACAAAACTAACAACTTTTGTCACTCTGAGAATTGTTCAAATAAAGTACACCATCATAGACTTAAAATATAACATTATATATAATACATACTTACGCCTGTTACTCCTTGGGGAGGAGCATACGCCGCCTACCAACACTCTTTACCCAACCCTCTCCTGGGTAATTTTTTCCAGATCTCTCCATTTGTTATGTATCCTGTACCATGTAGCTCTTCTAAAGTTACAGACAGTCCCAAACCCAGGTAAAAAAGGAGGATTAAGCACAGGGTTAGCGACCCCATCTCGAAGCTCTTTAACCATCTGGATGACTGAGTCTCGTGCCAAAATTCAAAACCTGCTATCTTAAATCTGATTGGTTCGTCCACAATATTATAATCTTGTCATATAAAGGAATTCATCTCCTTTTTCTTTACTTTGTTTGTTTGTTAAATATAACTCAATACAAAGGTTACTTATAAATATATCAGTTCAGAGAGACGTGAAAAAAGTCAATCACCTCAACATATAAAACGTATTAATTCAGATGAATTTCAATTTAAACAATTTAATTCAAATGGAATAGAACAATTACCTCAATTAATAATTGGTTCAACACAATTACCTAATCAACGTCATCGTAAAATTTCATTAAATCAATCAAATTCTAAATTAATTAATGAACATATATCCGTTAAATCAAATGGTTATGCTGTTATTGTTGTACCAAATACTGGAACAATAGAACGTAAGTATTGATTAATTTATTCTTAAATATGAAAATAAGATTATTTTGTAATGACGAGGGGGGGGAGGAGGACTATTGAATGTATTTGAACAATACAATGTACAGAATATCTTCGTGAAAATCTACGAACCTTCTTTGATTTCCACACTAATCACTTTCTATTCTTGTTCTCTTTTCGTCAATCTTCTTAACTTTCTGCCATTAGGCTTTAGTGATCTGTGGATCTGATTCCAATTAGATCGTATGAATGTTTGTTATCGCCTATTCTCGTATATCGTCATTGACTTAAATCGCGTTAGTCAATAACCGAATTAAATAAGTCAAATAACGAGAATGAACTTGTGAATACATATATTTTGTATATAAAGCGAATGGAATAGAAAGAAGAGAAACGACGCAGAGTGGAGATGGTGGGTAAGCCAACTCCCATTTCACCAAGCGTTAATCAATATTTATAGTTACACAAAAGTAAGTTACAGACATGTGATGCGTAAAGGGATAAGAAGTGTACACACACCTACTCGTTCATATAAAACAGTCAAGATTGGTAAGCGAATAAATAACAAGGTCAGTGTGTGACTCATGTAGAATGAATAGAATGGGCTGTGCGACAGCTAGAACAAGGTATATGGGCTTAACATAATAACCGACAATACAATGCATTCCACTTTCGATTGGTGATACATACTACTTATATCTATAGATATCAGTAACACACACTATACTATCTTAACCCTATTTTACTATTATTCTAACATAATTGAAGTTTTTATCATAGAAAAATATTGTTCCTTTGTTCAACGAAATTCACTAGACAAAAGTGGTTTGGATAATTTTTTTCTAGTTAGCGTTTTTTTAGCGAGTTAGTTTTCTACGGGATGGGGTCGATAACCCCATGCCTAACCCTCCTCCTTTATCCGGGCTTGGGACCGGCAGTAGCCACAGAGGGGTTCCAGGTGGAGTTCTAGACAAAAGTACTTGTTGTAATCAACCAATTTATCATCATAGTCATAACTTGTGATTATAGTTAATAGGGTAAAAAATGAATCAACAAAAATCGAACGTTGAAAATATTTGTTCTTTTATAAACAAAGATGGATGTTGGCTAGCAGTGGAATCTAGGAGATGCGTCTCGCACTACATGGGTGTCACTACCTGAATTCAATATTATTGTAGTGAACGAGAACATGGGATGTTAACTTGAACCTGCTTACATGTTAAGCGGAAATGTTAAGATCCATGATCCGAATAAATATGGGTCAGATAGGATGAGAGAAACAATGGTACAGTTACAATTCGATCAACTGTTTAGTGAAAGGTTATAATGTGTGATAAAAACCGATTGTAAATAAGTAACATATTGCCGAAATGTTCGACAGTTTTCAATGGTTATATATCTAGTAATAACAGTTGACAATAAAAACTTCATCGGATTGACTATGTCTCCACGTTCCACTTAATTCGTTGGTACTCTAAGTTATTAGAAGCAGTTAAACAATTAATCGTAAAGATTTTAAAAGGAAAAATCCTCCATGGGACTTAAAATCATTTAGTTCTACTTCACAAAGATATTTGTAGTGACAGAATAAATGTATCCCGAGTAGAGTTGTAATTTTCGAAAGTAACTATAAACTACTCATGAGTAGGTTAGACATATAAACCAAGTAATTCCTGCAGCATATTTTAGTTGGTGTGGGATAAAACCTGGATTTCAATACTTTTTATTTCCTAGAAGAAACTCCAGAGCTGAAAACAGAAAATGGTTGGATTGCTGAAAGGTTGAACAATGAATTAAATGAAGATTCATCTCCAACTGGTAAAGAGAAGCATAGTTCAACTTATCCAAGTCCAGCTACAAATGATAATGATGAAGGAGAAGAGGAAATAGAACTAGTTACAATAGAACAAACTTCACCAGATGTGAATATTACAGTAGATGGTGAGTTACATCAATAAATCAGAGTCAATCTTAATATCAATCTGATTAATACCATTATTCTATGTAATATGGGTAAATGTTGATTAGTTAACAATTTTTCAACTGTCGGTCAATATAGTAGCGGTAGAGGTAGTAAACGTATAAGCAGCAATCGAAAAAATTAGGGTTTGAAGATGTTATTCAAAGAGTATAATCCAGTGAAATAAATTTGGAAAAAGACAAAAGAAAGGGACATGAAGAATTCAGAATATTAGAAGTTGGGAGAACACAAAGAGTGGATGCATCTCCGCCATCGCAAACGATTTTGAGCCATGTCATTCAGGGTCTCTAACCATCGGTTCCTATCATCTCGCGGCCCCCAACCAGGTAGTCTACACCTACCAATATGACTCAGTCCACTTGTCAGTAACTTCATGGATTTGTGCCATGTTTTGGTCTGGACGCCCCTAGCTTTCTTCCAATCTACTCCTATACAAAAAAACATCGCACATCGAGGCAGTCGGTGGTTGGGCATACGTAACACGTGTCCCAGCCATCTCAACTGATGAAGTTTCACTACTTCATCAATTGATTTGCTATCCTTACCTAGTACCCGTTTCCTAACAACTGCATTACTTACTCGGTGTTCTCAGGATATACGAGCAATGCTTCGGAGACATCTATGATCGAATACTAGTAACCTACGAATATCCTCTACTATTGCCGGCCATGTTTCACTGCGATAAAGTAGGAGGGGACGAACTGCTACGCAGTAAACTCGTCCTTTGGTTGGTAGACGGATATCTCGCCTACGCCATAAATGACGCAAGTTCGCAAAAGCTAGTCGAGCCTTCTGTATCCGTGCTGAGATTTCGTCACACACTAGACCACAAGGGCTGATGAGACTTCCAAGATAAGTGAAGCAGTCGACACACTCAACTACTTCACTCCCTATCATTAGTTCGGGTGTCGATGCAACCCAACCTTGAAGAAACATTTTGCATTTCGAGGGGGAAAATCGCATCCCGAACATGCCTGCATTGTTGCTTATAGTGGTCAGAGGACTGCATTTGTCAGCGTCTTCACCAAATAGAACTATATCATCGGCATATTCTAAGTCAAAGAGTGAATCTCCTGGTAGAATTTCAACCCCTGTAAATTTAAATGAGGAAAGTGTTATTTCTAAAAGCACATCTACGATAAAGTTAAACAAGAATGGAGAGAGTGGACAGCCCTGACGAACACCACTTGATGTAATCAATTCTGATGACAGTTCGCCATAAGCTCTCACTCGACCAGTTGTGTTCGAGTAGAAAGTCTTTATAAGGTTAATGCACTTCTTTGGTACTCCTTTCAGTGACAAACACTGCCACAGAACCTCACGATCAACGGAGTCGAGAAATACTACTACTGCTACTTTCTCATGATGTTGAAACTGAAGTTATGAAACAGTAGCTTAGCGGTTGAGAGTATTATTTAGCTACAAATTGTTTAGTCATAGAAAGTATAAATCCTTAAATTATCTCATATCGACATGACATGAATTGATAAACGTATGCCGTTATCTCAAGCACAGGTTTGAGTATTAGGTAATTGATCTCATTACCTGTGTGAAGGGTAGTATTAATGTCTGATTGAATTAAGCACAGTAGTGTTATAACTGTAAAAACTGGTATTTAGAACAACAATAAACTGAAATATACACGGTACACTTAAGGAAGTAGACAAAAATTGATAACAACGTTAATTAAATGAACTCATTTATACATATATAGATTTTAATAGTATGTCATAACTACGAACAGTGGATATGATACAGAATTACTACAAAACGCATCCCATTTGTTACACTGAATAAACACAAAGAATATCATACTAAGCAAAAAATCACAATAATTTAAAGGATACAATATAGGAATTGACACTAGGCTGAAGATTTGAAGGAAGATAGAGGATAGCAGGACTGTAATAATATGACTTATTTGGGGCTATCCAACATTTATTCAGCCATTGTTTATGACCGTTGAGTCAGTCCATACCACCGGGTGCAGTTCACACCATAGGAATATAACCAGTAGTCAATTATTTTTTTTAAAACTGAGTTGATATGCCTTCTTTAAGTTGCCGTAACCATTTTTCTATCTTATACTAACCAACTTAGCAAGTTGGGTTATATGATTTATTGATAAGCGCTAAGCACATTCCAGCCATGACATTCAAAAGAAGTTTATAATTCCACTCCGGGGTCACACGGAGCCTTTGACTTAAAGGTCTAATCCACAAGGCAGTAGAGCAATGTTAGAGAAGATACAGTTCCATGGTAGCCAGTGACCCACAATGGGTTCATACACCATTTGTTCCTTCAGGATCATGGAGTCCATGTACACCATTGGTTTGGAATCAAGATTTTTCAACTCTCATAGGTGGAGTGGATCATCCGTATTCACCAACCTGGTTAAAGTGCCGGACATTCGCTTTTCATCTTCTCAATTTAGTAAACAACACCCCCACCACGAAAGGTAGTGGGCAGGACTTCTCTGACATTGACTGTATACGCATAGCCATGTAAGAGCATTTCCAGAAGTACAGCTGACTCTCCCCACTCTCAGCCATACCTAGAATATTTGAGGTCAAGTATGTTTCCTGCTTAGTCACGAATTGAAAACCTTCTAAGTGTTAGACAAAAACATAATAACCATTACACTACAGAAACAACATTTAGTTTGTTCTTCTTTTCTTTAATAAATTCACATACACACACACTGTTCATTTTCTTCAACAACAACAACAACAACAACGAAAAAAAGGCGAATAAATTCTTTCTTTCTTTTTTTCTTTCTCTTTACAGATATCTCCAACTAGATACTATAAAATCAATAGTTACCAAGTGTAGTTACCCTATTTCTCTATTTGATATTATTTACATTTATAGAGACATATTTGAAAATCGGATCAAAATGTTAATCATTTCAAAATAGTTCTTCAAATGAACCTCCTTTTTTTTAAAAAAAAATTTGATTAATCTATTTTTTAACTTACATATATATAAATATACAATTCAACGTTCAATGGTATGAAGGATCAGAATTAATTATTGAACATTGAATATTTCAAATATTAAAAACTAGAAAAATGACAAACATAGACATTTTTCAAACAAACAAACAAAAATCAATTATTGATCATTAAATAAACAATTTGCATAGAAACAAGAAAAAAATTTTTTTTGTAAATTTCGAATTTTTCTTCATGTTGATTATAAAAAAAACGAAAGAAGAAAAAGAAACCGGAATTCAATTCAGTAAAACAAATAATCATATGAACTAATATTTATTCATATTAGGTAAATGATAGTAAGCAACAATATTTTTCTTTTTCTTTTCTTTGGCTTCCATTCAGTTAGTTAGTCAGTCAGCAACAACAACAACAACAACGTAGAACTTTGTACGTGTGTACATTACAATTTCAGTTGTCATGCCATATTAGCTTCCATTAGTCTTTTCTAGAAGAAGAAGAAGAAAATTTCGATATGAATATAACAAAGTGTTTGTTTGTTTATTGTTGGTAATATTTCGTTTATTGAATTTGTTCAATGTTCCTAAAAAATGGAAAAAAAACTTTTTTTTCCTAGTTATTCAATGTTATAATGAAGAAACAAGAAATATTAAATTATATGCATGATTATTATTATTATTGATTTTCTCTATGTAACATATATATAAGTGGATTTTTGCAATAAGCCCCCAAATGCCCTGATACGGCCGAGGGTAGTGAGAGTTAGCTTTCCCTCTCGAAATATCCTTACATGGCCATGTGTATACTGTCAATGTCAGGGAAGTCCTCACCACTACCTTCTCGTGACATTACTGTCGTTTACGAAAGTGAGGAGATGGAAAGCGAATATCTGGCACTTTAACCGGGTTGGTGAATACAGAGGATCCACCGCACCTATGGGAAATGTAAAACCCTGATTCCAAACTAATGGCGCACATGGACTCCAGGATCCTGAAAGAACAAATGGTGTATGAACCAATTATTGGTCACCGACTACCATGGGACTGCATCTCCTTACATTGCTTCATTACCTTGAGGATTAGACCTTCAGGTCAAAGGCCTGGATTTTGGCCCGTTAAGAAAATCGCCTGTTTCGTTCTGGGCACCCGGCCAGTATCATAATTCACATACAAATTAAGTGACTTGTGTGGCGTATTTGTACTCAGTTCCTCTTTGCACCAATATTTATGTGTTCAAATAAATAAATATTTTTGCAATGCAATATATGAACTGAATTTAGCAAGATAAATATTGAAAATTAGTAAAGCATTGAACAACTTCATTCTAGTAGTATGAGGAGACGTTTCAGTAGTGCAAGGTAACGATTCTTACAGACATCAAGTCTTGGCAATAAGTGTTTAACCGTTGAATCAGGATTCGGTGATACTGGATTGTCGACAAAACTACGATAAGCTCTTCATTTTTCGATTTATTTACAATCGACCCGAAATTTTCGATAAATCTATACGTTCTTTAAAAAAAAACCAATGACAAAAACTCTTCTCTTCTTGACCTTGAGAGTTGCTCAAAGACAATACTTTGATAATACAATCTTACCTTACAAACATCAACAGTACACTATGAAAACAGTAGTTTGTGCGGTTGTGATTGTATTCCATTGAGTAATCTATACGAAATAGTGGTAAGATCCCGGCAAGATGATTCTTGAAGTGTTTGTCAAAAAAAATCAGTACAAAGTACTGAACTTTCCTACTGCTTACATTTGACACCAAAAACGGCACAAAGTAACACTGAAGATTGGTGTGGATGAAGATTTATTAACCTTTCAAAGAACACCCTTAAAAAAAACAAGTAGTCATTAGACCGAACTATGCTCATTTACATACGCAATATACAGAGTTACTTAAGAAAAAATATACTGAATACAGTACACTTGAATTAATACAAGAAATGAAGATGTCACACTGGATGGAAATTCAGATTTGTCACATTGATGAAAATTAATACTGAAATGACACAGAATTATTGATCTAAAGTCACGTCATCTTCTTATCCTATTACTGTATTTTCTTTTGATAGGGACTTCAGGGATTATCAACACCTTCCCTTCCATCGACGCGACAGAAAACTATAACTCAAAGTTGGATACATATTCAACTATATAGGGTTACTTCCTTCCATTTAAATTCGATTAGCTTTTATCAGACCATCAGTACGAGATATTGAAGGGAAGTGTCCATAATTTGTTTCAATAATAGTATTAAACTCCTTAGAAAGGCGATAAAAGTTTGTTGAAAGGGTAATACACTTGATATGTAGTCATCAAGGAACAAACTTCTTTCAAGAAGTGAACTGACTTAAAGATAATGATGTATACTTGCAAAAAAAGCCCAAGAATTCCCCAGGTTACTCTAAAATCTTTAACATTTGTTTAAATAGTTACGTTTGCTCACTGTAGCAACAGACTATAAACACTGAATATCTTCAGCGATTATTTATAGTGGTTCAGGCCGAATACGCTCTACCAGTGAAATATTTTAGTGTTTACATCGATTGGTCACCGTGTTAGTGAAGTTTCATTTATCAAGTTATGATGTGACAACTAGTCTGATTGACTCAAAATCACGTGGAAGACATTTTCATGTTAGGTGGTTGGAGATTGTCGATAAGAGACGAAGGACTTCATGCTAAATAGGACCTTTGGAAGACTTATGCTTCCTAGTGGTTTCAACCTGTTTCATCAAGTTTCACAGACAGACATTATCACTGAGTAATTCGGGTTGCTATTAGCTTCAATCCTTAAGAAAATCAGTGCTAAATAGCATGAAAGTTGAATCCTTAATTTCTTCCTAACTACCTCTAATATTGCTTCTCTCAAGAGTCACATAAATTATATTTACACAGAGGTGTATTACTTTCAGTATAATTCATGACGGCAATGAATTTATGACAAACAGATGTAGTATGGGGGTTGTGGAGATTATTAAGTTTTTGATTGAGATCATGAACCGATTGATGTTAGACCACCGTTGGAAACCTAGACGACCATTTCGTCCTATTGTGGGACTTCTCAGCAGTGCACATCCACGATCTCAATCACAAAAACAGATACAGAACAAATCAATTTCATAGATATCGAACCAGAAGAAGATCGAATACCATATCAAAATATGTATAAGTTGCTTTTCCAAACAGAATTTCTTTATAACAGAAACAAAAAGGAAACAAGAAACAAAAGATAAAAAGAACATAGAATTATGATGAAATATCAATAGCAAAGTATCGAATAGTTGAATCATCTGATGCTGTACACAAGAATGGTTCAATTTTATCATTATTATTATCATCCATAGATTTACAAAATGGTGGTAAAGTTAAATAAAGAATCATTGCTTTATGACCCCACCATATTTTTAAAGGAGTTTTTTCTGTTAATAAACCAGATGAAGATTTTCCTGTTAATCCAGTGATACCACACCATGCAACTATGGAACCTTTAGTGGTAGCTGTGAAAAATATAGGTTTATATCGACTCCAACATAATGATGTAATACCGATAGGTTGCTGTTAAATTAGAAATAAAATATAAACGAGAATTCATTGAATAGTATCAATCAAATAAAGAGAATGTTTACGTTATACAAATTAGTGTATGAAAGGGACAAAATAATTGTAATAGGAGAAGCAGTTCAGTTTTAAAAAAATTTCTACACATGTTCCCATAAATCCTCGTTACCAACATGGTGTTGCCACTGAATGTCAGCAACCTTCCAAAGACAACGACGATCAAACACATGGAGTTGTCTAACATCCTTAACTCAGAAATGCCAGGCTTCATGAGCTTAGCGTAAGACTGTTCTCATCAGCGCGTTGTACACACGATCTTTTATAGCTAGACCATAATCAAGAAGGTGCCAGAGATGATCCAGATTGACATAAGCTTCTCTGGCTTTCATTATATATATTAATTGATTTCATTACTCACGTAACCATCAGCAGTTACACAGCTACACCCAAATACACGAACTTCTCGTAAAAGTATTTTGCACTTAGAAGGTGCAAGACATATGCCATACCTACAGATACTAGTTGCCAACTGATTAAATGCGGATCGCAAAGTTTGGATATCATAGCACAGTAAGACAACATCCGTATACACAATAGACAAGGTTAAGTGGGGTCACATAGGTTAACGAGGAGATTCATGAAGTACCAAGAGAACTCATTCACCATATAAACAATGATGCAACTAAATGTGAACCATACTAACAAAACTAAAGAATTTCATAATATGTATTACGTGATGTGGTTATTTTAAACTGATGACCATAAGTCGAAAATCACTAGGATTATCTTTTTTTTCTCTTAGTAGGTTGAACTTTTCTTAATTTTCCAGTAATCAAAATTTTAACGCACAAATAATGGTTGATTATTGAAAGAGTTAAGTAATTAACATACTCCTAGTTGAATTTTAGAAAATTCTGATTTGAAATTAACACTTCAACAAGAAATAACCTACCGCGTCATCTTCATCTATGTACGTCCATTTTTGACGAACACGAATAGTATGAGCATCACAAATTCCAAGTACACCAGTGATAGAGCCAAAAGCAAATAATGGATGTCTATAATTAAGATAAATAAATAAAATATTAGTAAATAAAAGGGAAATTAGAATGTGCATCCTGCCACATATCAGATATCGATATCTTTCATACCAATGGATGAATAAACAAACTCATTTCAAGCATTTTCAGAATATCAGATGGGTTTTGTGGATATTATAGTAATTGCAATGGTTAAGATCATGAGTCAGTTGAAGCTAGACCACCATGGAAAACCTGGAAGCACTGGATGGAGGTTTCGTCCTAACTGACTCATGATCTTAACCATTGAAATTACTATAATATCCACAAAACCCATCTGATATTAATCAACATATGCTCACTAGTGACTGACTTCAAGAGGTATATCCTGGAGTTCTAGTGAGAAGTAGTGACCAGTGGAGTTCAACCAGGTCTATTGTGAGATAGTAACTCACTGATGACAATGGTGGATGTGTCGCTCGATTTCGTGGATTAGTTGAAGTTAGACATTAACACGGTTGGATGCCGGTTCATTGGTCTAGTGGTTAAGTGCTCGCGTGCAAAACCAGTATGTCCTGGGTTCGAATCTCGCAGGGAGCGGGGTCGTGGATGCGCACTGCTGAGGAGCCCCATGCTAGGACGAAACGACCAACCAGTGCTTCCAGGTTTTCCATGGTGGTCTTGATATTCAGAATATATGATAAAATAAAGCCGATAGGTTTCGGTTTGGGTTGCCGGATATTAGCATTATCCTTCATATAAATAATGTAGCTTAAAGTTGATTACATCCATCTACACTCAATAGGTAAGTTAAATCTCTAATTAGTGTTTGGATGTATTAGTCAATGAATAATCATGAGTGTAATTTTAATTCATACAAAGTTCAACAACAACAAAATATTCCACCATGGTAATTGACATATATCCAACCAATTTCAATTTAGTAACATGTAAATACTCCTTGGATGAACTCAAACAATCATGTAACTCCAAATTTCAAAGTTTAATATGTACTTTATATTAAAATGATGTATTGGTTATTTGAATCTTCCGATTGAGGTTTAGGACTGAAACTGGTTAATCACTTTTGGCAGTTGGACATCCTGTACGAATTGCCTCGATATTACCATTAAGTCATAAGCATTTTAAGCATAGATGGATAGTGGCTAATAATGGAATCCAGGACGCGTGTTTCGTCCTATTTGAAACTAGTCATCTAGATGTACCTGCATCCCACAGTTGATGTAAATTTTGAGACACGAATCGAGTACCGTTCGCTTGATGACGAGTCCCAGATGGGACGAAACGTGCGTTCCGGATTTCACTCGTAACCCTCATTTCATCTCTGCTTAAAAATGATGATACTCGTTTACTGAATCCATAAACTTAAAATTTGTAATCGAGTTCAAGAAGCTCATGACCATATATCCTCTCAAAACTACCAGGAATTATTAAATGATACGAAGCCCATTTTTGTACCACATTATTTATATAAAGTCATATGATACCATCTGATCTTAGCAAAACAAAGTAGATGATACACAACATGAATCAGAGACTTATTGATTGAAAGTCAACTAGTTTCATTCCGTACATGAATTTACAGCAAGATTATATACTTATATCTTGTATTGAGTAGGTAGCGAGATATCAGCTGACTACTATCTCATTGACTTTGAATAAAGCTATAAATGGATTGATATAATCAGATGCTTACACATGATATACAGATAAATGACTATGATTTGTATAATCATAACCTCTTACTCTCTGTAAATTGTGTTTATACAGTTTTTGTATATTGACGTCTTGTTTATAATTAATTACTCAATCGGACAAATATATTTGCGGTTAATATGAATAGTATAAGAGTATTAAATCAAAGACTTACGTCCAAGAACAGTTTAATGCTTCAACGGATCCATCATCACCTGTTTTAATGATATCTAAAATCTGTACAATAAATAGATTAATTAATAATAAACAAAATTCTAATTTCTATTAAAATCATAATATTTCAAAGGTTACAGTAAAAGCAAACCCTTACATATACATAAACATAGTTCAACTTGTTTTCATTCAATATAGCAAGATAACAACAAGAATAATGAGATCTAGTCTAATAATAGTTTTATCAGTATAGAGTTGTGGAGATTGTTGAGTTTAAATTGATATCATGAATGAATCAATGTTAAACCATCATTGAAAACCTGGAAGCACTGAACGGCCATTTCGTCCCAGTATGGGACTCCTCAACGGTAAGCATCCATGATCCTGCATGAGGTCCTGGGTTTGAATTCTGCGCGCGAGATCGTGGATGCTTACTGCTGAAGTTTCATACTAGGACGAAATGGCCGTCCAGTGTCCATTGCTTCCAGGTTTTCAATAATAGTCTAGCTTAGATTGACTCATGAATTTAACCATTAAAATAACTACAATCCCTACAAACTTCATTCTGATCATAATTTTATTTATTTCACAATTTATCTAGTTTGCCTGACCTTTACTTTCTCAGCTACAAAAAGTCATCACAAGTAAATGTGTGACGAGATTGTTGGTCGAAGTGTACTGCATCAATGCGTTACGTAATTCTGATAAAACTTGTCATTTCTTCATTGTATGATCTAAATTTATCAAAGAGATAAGAGATGATGCTTTGAAACAGATATATCAGTCAGTCATGCCTCTAACAGCACTCAAAAAACAGATATATACTGATTGATCAATAAACCAGGAGTCTTTACTTGCTGATTATGTCATATGCTGTCAACATAGTCTCTTCTCCCTTTTAATCGTGACAAGTAAATAGAATTCTTGATAAGAGAATATATATATATATATATATATATATAATGCCTCCTAATTCCCGGGTACAGACAAGGGTAGGGAGATTCGTCTTTCTTTCTCGAAATGTTTCCATATGGCCATGCATATATAGTCACCGTCAGGGAGGTCCTACTCACTGCCTTCTCGTTTCAGGGATGTTGTTTACCAAATTGAGAGGACGAAAATTGAACCTTCAGTGCTAAAACCGGGTAAGTACGGTGGGACCACCTAGTGAGGTTGTAGAAACCTAATTTCAAACCAATGGTACACATTGGCTTAAGAACCCATCCTTGGTCACTGTCTACGATAGGAGTGCATCTCCTAATGTCGCTCCACTGTCTCATCGATCGGATCTTTACGTCAAGTGCTCAGGGAGTGGCTCCCTAACAAAACCATCTGTGTTTGGTTAGCATACCCGGAGAATATCCCAACCAACGCACAAATTTAATGATTTGCTATGTGGTCCACATATATTTTAGTGCCCCACTTTAACAAACTTCATCAGTCAGCTACAACGTAGGACCAGGCACATATGTGTATCGATCCAAGTTGCCGTACCTCATTAGCACAACAAGATGAACACCGAATTCATAGAAGTAGTTAATTTAATGATGGCAATATATAAAAGAAAGATTGCAATAAGGATATAGTACAGGAAGAAAGAATTAGTTCGTAGAAAGAAAGACATGAAGCGATTTTAATCTCATAGTTTAAGGGAAGACAGAGTGTATAAACTTACGCCATTGTGATCGATTCTGAGCAATGTCACACACAGCCTCCAACTGTTGGTTACGATGGTCACGCGGACCCCAACCAAGTAGTTTGCATCTACCAACACGGTACAGATTAGAAGTTAGTGACTTCAAAGATTGATATCATTTTTTTTTCGGCTGCCCGTAACTTTCTTCCAACCATTCCCAACACTAGTCAGCATTGCTCGTCGTAGTAATCGGTGTTCAGGCATACGTAACACGTGGCCCAACCATCTCAGTCGATGAAGGTTCACAACCTCATCAACTGATTCACCATTATCCCTTAATACCTTACGTATACCCCCACTATTAGTTACCTGGTGATCCCAGCAGATGCGAGCAATATTTCTAAGGCATCTGTGGTCAAATACTAGCAACTTACGAGTATCTTCTACTCTTATTGGTCACGTTTCGCAGTCATAAAGTAAAACAGAACGAACTGCCGTGCAGTATACTCGTCCCTTAATCTCTTCATATGTTTAAATAAAATAAATATTAACCTCAAATCTTCAAACATTAAAAAAGATAAATGATAGACATTCAAGAATTTATTCAAATGATCATGTATTACCTACCTTAAAACGTAATTCACCATCAAATTTAATAGAGATAGGACATATGAAGCCATTTCCAGCAATTAATAATAAATCATGATTCGAGTTATCATTTGTATTAGATTGATTTTTCAATGATTGTAATGAAATCATTTGATAAACTTCTAAATGTTGACCATATTGATTAGATAATGAAGAATATTTATCAAATAATTTAATAGAACCAATTAATGTTATTGTTTTTATATCCCATATACGTAGATCACCATTTCGATGAAGTACTGCTAACTTTGGATTTTTAGTATTTGAAGAACTTGGTAAAATTATTCCATCTAATGCAGCTTGATCAAGATCTAGAAAAATGTAATTGTATGAGAAATACTTTGAATGTTGTCATAATTTGTGGCCTTGTGAGCTATTAATATATATAATGTAACGATACCACTAATTAGAGAACTTTGACTTATTGACCGGATCAATGACGCATAAACCTGTACGAGCAGTCTAGAGTGTTTATCGGTCCTTCTTCTTGCCTAGCCCTACCTGTTGAGTCCAGAACACCAATCCCAGCCTTCGTGATATGAATCATGTATTTCAAACATAGTGGATGTCCCCAAATGCCCTTGTACAACCGACAGTGGAGAGAGTCAGCTCTCCCTCTCGAAACGCTCTCACATGAGCACACTTATAAAGTGACTGACAGGGAGGTCATACTCACTGCCTTCTCGCTTCGAGGGTGTTTTTAACGAAATTGACAGGACGAAAAGCGAATGTCTGGCGCTTTAACCAGGTTGATAGATATGGGAAGTTTCACCTAAAGGAGTTGGAAAACCCTGATTCCAAACCAATGGTGTACATGGTCTCCAGGATCCTGAGTGGACAGATGGCGTATGAACCTACTGTTGGTTACCGACTACCATGGAACTGTATCTAGTAACGTTGCTCCACTGCCTTGTGGATCAGAACCTTTAGGCCGAAGGCTCCAGGTGTGGCCCCCTAAAAGAACCATCTACTTCGGTTTGGGCACCCATGCAACATCACATCCCACACAAAGATCAAGTGACTTGTGTGGCGCATATGTATTCGGTGCCCCTTTGTACAAATATTTGTGCTCAAATAAATAAACAAATAAACATACTGGGTTTATATACACACCAAACAGATCACATCACTCCATAAAATAGAAAACAACATTTGTTGGAGGTATTCGACACCATCTTATCTCTCAACATAGTGCACGCAGTGTCGAATCACCTAGACTAGTGGCTACATTGCAACTTGGTCGATAGAATTCGATCTGCACTAAGAAGGATTTGACACACATGACACTGACCATCACCCAGTGATCAATCAACTGTGATTATCAGAGTTTAAACATGTATCAGAATGAGCGTTAGTCTTCTACTGAACCTACGCAATGATGGCTTGTGGTAAATGGTCTATTTGTGTATATTGATGAATCCATATGTGGGTTTCGGAGATGCAATATACGTTAATAATAAGAGACCGGATAGTCTGAAGCTTGCCGTCCGATTTAGCGTAAGGTTGGAATATTGAGAGCTCCACTTTTTTACTTTGGAAAGCAGTTTTAAAAGATCAAGCTAACACTTAGTGGACCCGAACCCCTATCAGTGGTGGAAATCAATGGAGCAGAATTGATATCTAGGATAGAAGAAATGCTAAGACGTAAGGAGGGGATTCCATAATAAACAAGGGAATATTGAGTGTGATATAGTGTATTGGAAGATTTTTTTCCCGTCTACTCACATCGTAGGAGGATATTTCGTGAGGGATATAAAAAGAAAAGAGGACCAGTAGTGGTCTTAATGACCTGTGAGAGTGGCCGCAGCGACAAACGGATAACTGATCGCGGCTGGTCGCTTATGACATTCATACATCTTGATGTGAAAGCCTCATTTTCCCAAGCACCCATTGCCGATGACGGAAAAACGTGGAAAAAGAGACTGTACCAGTTCAAGATCGATCTTTACTAACCACCGATATGAAGAAGTAGAATCGACAAAGATGCTGACAAAAACTTGTCATCACTAACACACCTCGCTGTAGTCGTAAGCACGACCTTGCCTTCGGATCTTATGTTGGAGCTTTTGGTCTTATCTCATCCCAACCAACCTGTCTGGGATGGGAGTACCGAAAGGAATAAGTGTTCCAGCCAGTACAACACATTTGGTTCATCATGCTATCCAATCCCGACCACTACGTCAAAGTAGCAGTGTGATCAGATAGCCAGTCAGCTTTACAGTATGAAAAAACGCTTTACCAATTATTTTAAACTTGATACAGAAAACCGAATTAAAAAACATTATTAAACCTAATGTATATGTCATTTTAGAAAAGAAAAACATACCAAACGTATACGCCATTGATATACACTTCCCCTGATTGTCTGATATGCTAGAACTTACAGCCCAGTAATTAACATGACTATGTTCATCACCGGCTAAGAGTAGAGCAGGTTTTGATAGTTTATTGTTCATATTTCGTACAGCATTTGAAGGTGATATCCACCATTTAATCCATAATAAATCATTGACAGTTTCTGTTCTTAATAATTTCCATTCTTTTGAATTTTCCTCTATCAATGGTCTTAACCAAATACGAATATTTCCAGCCATATCACCAGTGCATAAATAATCCCCATTTGGACTGAAACTAACACAATTCACAGAATCATCATGACCTACATTATTGGTGAATAAAGACATACACAAAAAGGATAACGATAAGGATGAGAATAAAAACCAAGGTAACATAATTACTAGTTAAGAAAAATCCAAGGGTTGAATACTCATTAATGGGTAAATACAATTACATGAATTGTAGTCGAGTACTGGTCTCTCACAAGACTATTATTATATTAAGCCCCCAAATGATTTGAAATCAAAAATAAAATCACTATCTAGATGAAAAAATTCTTATCTAGTGAAATAACATGCTTATAATGCCGAATATGAACAGAATAAATAAGATAAAATGTCATAGACAATTGGGGGAAATTAGTTTGTAGATCACTCACTATCCGATCTATTAAGCTTTGATTGTCAAGCCTAATTATTGGGTATTGTATCAACTTGGGACATGTGTCGTGAATGTTAAGCCACTACTTATCTCGATGTACAGTGGTGGCTAAGAGGAATATGTTGGAAGGAGATTATGGACGAACAGGTGAAGACATGAGATTATTTTATAAAGTCACTGACCAACGGACTAAGCTGGATTAGGAAGTGAAATCTTTTCAATCATAGTCCGCGTCAATGTACTCTTTATCTTTGCATATTTCTTGAATTCTAGTATTATACCATTTATTTCACTTTACAATATTACTGACAATTAGCTGGAGAAGTTAGGTGACATGGGTTTACATCGATCACAATGGCACAAATCTATGCACTCTTTATTTTTTTCTAAACCTTTTAGTCCTGAGAATTTGTTCTTTTTCGAATCACATTCTGTTCCTAATCCGTTTTACTTTCTTAATCACTTCTTACGCCTGTTAACCTAAGTCCAGAATAGGCTGCAGGTCAGGATTCTCCAACCAACTCTGTCCTGGGCCCCCGTTTCCAGTTGTTTTCAAGTGCTGTTAATTATTTTGATGTCCGTTTGCGGTTCCTATTGCAATGTGTTCTTTGGTCTATCTCTTCTCCTTTAGCCTTCAGGAATCCAGGTTACAACTCGCCTTGTGATGTAGTTTGATGATTTTTACAATGTTTGTCCTATCCACCTAGTCTTCTCCTAATTTCCTCTTAAGCTGGAAAGTAATTTGTTCTCCCTCACAGTAGATTGTTGCTGATGGTGTCTAACCAACGGATCTGGGGTATCTTGCGTAGACAGCCGTTTACAAATATCTTTTTGATGATTGTAGTAGTTCTCCAAGTTTCAGCTACGTACAATAGAATTAACTTGACGTTTGTATTAAAGAACCACTTTTATTACCATTGGTATTTCAACTACATTGGTATTCGTCTTGATGACTTTTTTATCCCACTGTCCTGATGTAATGTGGCAACTTGGTCCGATCAATATATATACCCGGTTTTGCGTTGACCATGATTGTAACTGATCTAAGATCGATTGGTTAGATGATAAGTGACTCAACCACTATTTATTTATTTAATTTATTTAAACACAAACATTGGTACAAGGAGGAACCAAACAGATATGCGCCACATAAGTCATTCGATTTGTAAGGACTGGATACTCCTCGGGTGCCCAGACCGAAGCAGGTGGTTTTCTTAGGGGGTCACACCCGGAGCTTCCGACCTAAAAGTCTGATCCACAAGGCAGTGGAGCAACGTAAGGAAATGCAGTCCCATAGTAACTGGTGACCAACGATTGGTTCATACACCATTTGTTCTCACAAAATCCTAGAGCACATGTACACCATCGGTTTGAAATTAGGGTTTTCTAACTTCCATAGGTGGGGTAGATCCTCTATATTCACCAACCCGGTTAAAGTGCCGGACATCCGCTTTTCATCTTCTCAATTCCGTAAACAACACCCTTACCACAAGAAGTTAGTGGGGAGGACTTCCTTGACATTGACTGTATACGCATACCCATGTAAGAGCATTTCGAGAGATGGAGGGCTGACTATCCTCATTCTCGGTCGTATTATTAATCCACACTAATACACAACATGCTTTGTACTTAACCATATTCAATAGATTTAGATCTAATTAATAATATTTGTAAGCATCTACTGATTGTTAATTAAGGATCAAATGTTGACTACTAGCAAACTTTACAGAACAAAAATAACCATTCATAAATAGTAGTACTACTGATGATAATAACATTGATAATAATAAAACTCGACCTTGACAAATGAATTCAATTTCACCAGTTGCTGCATTCCATATTATAGCAATATGATCTTGTCCACCGGATGCAAGAAATTTACCAGTACTATCAAAATCTAAACAGAAGACGCTTTCTGAAATAATGAAAGTAATCGTTAAGTAGAAAATAGTTGTAAGGATAAATATATTTATTTATATCACAAATTAAAGGTAATAATCGTCTCTTTTTTAACAGACTTGTATGATAATTAACTATTCATGGGTTTCTTTTGAAATTTTAATCGACACTTACCACTTTTTTGAGCTAAACAAATAGATTGCTGGAAAAAACGACCCTCACTTCCCATTATCACAAATCTTCTAAATTTGAGAAATATCAGCTGATGGAATAACTTTCTAGTGATTTAAAAGATGATGCATTGTACACTAAATGAGTTTTGAAAATTTCAAATCTACTTTTGAAATTAATCGACAGGGCTATCGATACTACTTGTACTAACGAAATCACGGTAGGTTGAAGTGGAGTTCGAACATAGGGTTCAGTGAGTAAAAGCTGGGTAGATTATTCAGTAAAGTATCTAACTCCTGTGCATTGTCTGGCGAGGGAACGTGTCGTATCCCCATAGAGGTGCAATTGGACTGAAACTTTTTGTTGAATATTTACCCCAAGTTTTAGTGATGATAACTAGTGAAAAATAACCTACAAAAGTTGAGTAAAACTAGATATTAAATGGTCGAAGGTAATCGGACCTTGAACTAGATAGACATGACATTGTTCACTACATAATGATCAACTAGACGTACACATCAGTTTTATTGAAGGTCATTCGCAGTCCGAATAGCTCAGCGTTAAGGTTTCAGACAGTGAAGATGGGTGCTGTGGGTTTTAATCCTTCGGAGGGGTACCAATTACCTCCAGATTATAGGTACACCTTGCTAACAAGTGCTGAATAGCATGAGACCTATGCCCAGGATTTCCTGCCGACTAACTTCAACCGTCTAACAGCCAGACATGGTATGCACGATGTCAGGTCGCTCAAATTAGTGGCTACATTGCAACTCTATCGACAGAATTCAGACAAAGATGACATTCATCACTCAGCAACCAACCAATGTAGAATAAAAGCATATAGATAAACCAAATGGAAAAATTTTATATCGAAGTAAAAGTCATAACGCGACAGTACATCAGAAATTTTATATACATAATTGGTTAAAAGAAATCGATGCGTAATAAATTCATCAGTCAAAAAAAAACAGAACATAGCTGTTTTTCAGTTCATCACTCTACATAAGTACTTCTACAGATCGCACCAGTACATGGTGATTATCTTCAAAGAACTACACGTACAACTAAATTTCTTATGCATCTATTGGAATTATAAATAACCGTATTGGATTTGCCCATACGAAATCGACGGTTCAATGTTAGACTATGTAGATTGTAAATTCATTCAATCGACGAGATCTTTAAAATCTTATTCCATTCATACCTTGAAGTAGTTGTACCTAGTCATGCTTGATGGTTAACTAGATTACAGTGGAATACCCAACTACACTACGAGATAAACAGCCTGATAACAGGAAAATAGCTGAACTTCCAATGGAGAGAGACATTGGTTATCATGAGCTATTACAAACGATGAAAACATTAAGAAATTGGAATACATAAAGATTAATCTGTTTACTAAGTCGTCAGTTTAATTAAGTCTACAGTAGTAGGATGATGGTTAGTGAAAACTAGGTGGTGTACCAGTACTCTACACTTGATCTGTGAGCATAACACTAAATAGAATAGTATAATATGATAGGATAAAGCACTGAACCTTGAAGTAATACAGTCAATCGGATACTAATAACGCAGCTGAAGTTTCTGGTAGATTCCGAAAGATTAACGGTGCTTTTTCTCAGTCACTGACGAATAGATTTGTTACTTAAATAATCGAATTAGCCATCATCTCATTTTCTGTCCATCGGAAACTGGAAGTGCCGAATTTCCGGTCGAATCCAGGATATGATGACAAGAAAGATTATTGTGCTAATGAGGTATGGCAACATGGACCGATGCATATGTGTCTGGTCCTGTTGTAGACCGACTAACAATATAATGCTAGATTTCAAGACACAATCCTGTATTCTGAGAAACTCGCATTACTCGAAGGTATTATTTGACACTAATAACCATTTAATTAAAACGACGTCGTCCATTTATTGAATCGAAACTTAGTATCTTCAAGTTCATAGGGAATTGTGCGCTTCCTGACATGATAATCATCGACCGAGGAAAATCTCTTCGTAGTGTATTTTAATTTACCACACAAATCCATTGACTACTTGCGAGTCTTTTCTATCCATTGTATTGTGATTATTTTACTATTATGATCTTCAAAAAACTAGATACTAGGAATGGGTAAATCATTGTTTGAGATCACAACACACCGACCCATTTTCTGTCATAAACAGTTAAATCAGTAGTTAGTATACAGTTCATCGGCACACAAACGCATATCGGACAGAATAACACAATTTACCATTAATTATCCGAACACACCTTTATGGCCTGAGAGCAATTTGAATGTATCATCTTGAGTAGGTGAAAAATACTGTACAACATCCATACTACTGTCCACCACTTCAGCCTCTATAAATTGAGATATAAAAAAAACTATTATAGTGGGATTAAATTTATACTACCTTTGTCTCTGACTTATAAACGACTCCATAATAAGGTTTCTTAATACTGAACAAGTTCCACTGGCCAAATCTCGATGTGCTTCGATATGGAAGAACACTTTACCCGCAATAATATCCAAGATATGAATTTTAGGTGCTGCTTAACAAAACCCAACTCCTATTAGGGGAATTGATGCTCTACATTATTTTTATCAATGACGTCATAAATACGATCTGTTTGAGTCTAGCATACATCTATTACGGTCTTCTGACGCACGGCCACCAGTTAAATCAGCATAATGTTAATAAACTAACACCAGTCGAAAATCGTTTTTATTTTTGGGATCTAGCTTCAGGTATACATAAGTAGCACTAGTAAGTATTCATTGTAAGATAACCGTATAGGATCACTAACAGTAACCAGTGTTATAAACAATTCAGTTTACAGACCTATGAAGCTACCTCACTCCAACCTAGCTATTCGTGCCCCACTATCAAAAAATGGTTTGCTTGGAGGATATCGTGCTTACATTCGAAAACCTGATATGCGCAGGTCACCTATGGGTCGACAGTGATCCTCCAACTCGCAAATGGCCGCCAGTATATATAAACCAATAGTGTGCACTGAATATTTTAAGTATTGCTCTTTCGACTGATGTAAAGTATTAGAGCTTACGACAAAATCGTGACACGAAATTGTGACAAGTGTCTATTGACGGATTATCTTCAATAGAGCCATATCTAGTTAACGTCACAGACTTGGTAAATACATCGTTCAGAAATACCCACCTACAACTTATCGGACGTACGCTACATGAGGTCGAACTCGCTTGAGCTATCTAACATACCAAAGTTAGCCTGTCATGTGACAATCGGATAAGCCCGGATGTAGTTAGAAGATCGACGCCCGGCAAGTTGATCAGGTGCCATGAATCAAATAATAACGGTCCAGATCAACCACGTAGTTAGATTTCTGTTGAAGGCACTAGTTACGTGTACTAACACCACTTCAGGAAGGCTCCATTTAAAGCATTGCTCCTCCAGCGTAGAGAACACCGAGAGCGGACCACAAACTAACACTCTGGTTTTGAAAACAAACGTCACGTTGGAAGTCACCACCTACAACCTATTGAGCCGACTACTGGTATGTCACCACAGAAATTGTTACCACACAGGGTATGAGTAAAAAAACCGAGTACCGGGACCCAATCTATGAGCACAAGAACAAATCACCTACAGGGTAGCGAAAAGCCCGTTACTTCTAGTTAATATGTCCATAAACTAAAGTGGAGCTTTCATGCCTGAAATCGAAGCAAGGTAACACAACACATGACTTCTCGTATCACTGGGCCGATAGCACGTCTGAAAAAGCCACTCACCGTTAATCGATTCATCATCCGAATTGTTCACAGACTGATTCTCATCTTCAATCCAATCCACATCTCCATCCACAAATTCAACGTCATCCGGTTCACTAGCCTGCAGAACAAATGACGGGATATGACTTTCCTGCAGATGTCATAATCAAAACTTAATTTCCTAACTAATAAACACTCATTCAATGACATGTCTAACGCCCACATTAAAATAATAGAAGACATCAATGTGGAAAGAATTTATTTGATTTCCCACAAAGGTACAAGAGCTTCACAACGATTACATCACTTGCTCCTTTCCCTCATTTTCCTTCGTTTGCGCTTCAGTCTCCTCATCCTCTTTTTTCGCCATTTATCACGCATCTACGAACGGAATAAATCAAAGAATGACAACTTACCACGCCACGACCAATAAGTTAAGAAAGACTGCCTTCACCTCGACCACGTTCAAACACACTTTCAAGGTACAATAGTTTGAGATTATGGTTCAAATAACAAGGCTTACCGAATCTGATTAACGCTAACAGAAAAATGTTTTAGATAAGAGCAGTGTGTTTTGCTTATTAAATTTTTGGGGAGCATAAACGTAAACATCACTTATCCATGTAATTGGTAAAGGAATAACATCTTGAGTAATTTTTAGTACCTGCCGACTAATACAAATGTAAAAACTTATATTTGAATAGTTTACGGGAAGCGAAATCCTTTCCTTTCTCGGTAGCGAGTTTTGGAACTTGCGGATTCTGAAAAATAAGACGTTGACACGTATTTTCATGAACCCTTTAGTGTAATATCCCGAAATAAGTCTGTGTAATGCTAAATCAATAATCGAAATAAATAGTTCCGTGAGTTTTTAACGTTGTCTCTGACCTCATTAGTTTAACTAAACACACCCTGGACCAGGGCACTTGGTCACGTATACTCACCAGGTCACGAGTAGTATGCCATGCTGTACATCGATTGCAACTACTAAACAGTTTAGAAAAATGCTTCTCGACTTATCAGTAGCTTTCCAAATATATCTTCGAACTTTCTCATTGCTGGCCAGCGAGCGTTATCATAAGTTCAGCCTTGGATTTAAAGAAACTATCAAGTTGGGCCCCAATGCGTTAGCAAGCATAGCAAGCATACAGATGTAGGTGTGGTTACGAGAAAAAGGAAAAAACACAATTGGAATGAAGAAACTATCACCAGCACTAAGGTATGGTTTCAGCGCAGGATGATGTTGTCAAGCGACATAATAAAGTCAGCGACTATCTTACAGCTGTACCCAGAAAAAGAAAACAGAGTGAAGTTTTCACGTCTGACGCCGAACCGGACTGCTGAGATGAGATTTCAGAGGACAAACCTCCACAGCTTGTTAACACGGACCTCACTGACATGTCAGTCATTTTTCATAAGTTAGGCGAATCTTCCAAAGCTGATCAAACGACTAGATTTGAACACGACCTAGGCCACATTTGTTATTTGTTAAGTAAGCTACATCCGGAAATAGTAGCAGGAGTAAGCATCCATAATCTTTATAGAATAGAACAAATGGTAGGTTCTGAAATTACGCAGAAGGCTGCCTGTTAAAAGTTACCTTAGCTTCTGTAGGAGAAAGAAACCGACTACTAGAAAACTCACGCAAACTAACCGCAACCGGAATACTCGTCCGTTAGGATCTTAGCTTGGTTGATCGTATTAAGAGACGATCAGCCCGAGTAGATATAAATGAGCGACGCCGGAAAGGTGAAAAACCTCATAGTTAAAGGTTTTCTAGTTGTAAATATTTGGAGCAAAGCGATTTTCGAAGCACTCTGGCAAGTGAGGGAAAGCTCCTCGCAGAACTAAGGGCGTGCTACACAAATGCTTCTAGCATACAAAATAAAATACCAGGCTCAAAACAGTAAACACATACAACTCTAAGGTCACTGACATCTCAGACACATGGATGACGTCAGATGTGTATGATAGTGAAATTCATTTGTTTGGTTTCTTACTTAGTAAGGCTGAAAGATTAAACCGCAATGGTGGTGGGGTTATCCTGAACACGAAAAGCATCTTAACCATACGACCTGACGGTTCAGTAACATACGAGTCAGTGACACGTTAGACGGTGCAAGATACTGGTTTTAGTATACGTGAATGATTTCAACCTAAGCAAACTTCAACCCTCGGGTACTGAGGTACCAAGAAAACTGTATCTTTGATTCAAGAGCATCAATGGAAGAAGCATGGAATCACTTTTGGTAGTTATAAAGTCAAACAACTCAACCACTTATACCTTGAACAGTCCCAACGAAGGAGAAGCACGGACATCCCTGGGTAGACTGGGATATTCAAAGTTTACCAATACAAAAGAAGTGCTGGAATATAGCTATCAGATTTGGCCCAGGAACTAAGATTCAACACTTCAGGTTCGTACAAAATAAGCGTATAACTACAATCAGGGAAACACATCGAAAATATGAAAAGGCGGTGGCTCATTCTGCAATAAGTCAGCCTAAAAATTATCCTCGTACATAAATTACAGAACTAGGACGCAGCATCGGATTTTCGACCTAATTACGGAAGGGATTAAATCTCAAATAACATAGGAAGACCAGAACAAAAAAAGGCTGTGGCAGTTTATTTTGTGGCATTTTTCACTCAGGAACCTATTCTAGACGAAGAACATGGCCCAAAAAGCCAATAAACCATCTGATCATTGTAGACTTCGATCGAGACGATGTACTTAGGGCTCTTAGCACTTCAGATACGGCAGCACCTACAGTACTAGATGTGCTAAACCCTAAAGTCTTGAGACAAATTGCGCAATATATTCCTTCTCCATTGACTACGATATTCAATACGTCACTTGATCAAGGTCAGCTGCCTATGGACCGGAAGGATGCAACTGTGACTCCAATACATTGAACAGAATCAATAAAACCACCAAACTACAGACTTGTCAACCCCATGAGTGTCATAGTTAAATTACTGGGAAGAATAATCAAAAAAAACTATAATGACGGTCGTGGAAACCAACGATTTGTTAAACATCAAGATTTCGGAAAGTGTTTATCTTGCAGAACAAATCTCCTTGCGGCAAAAGAGCAATCGATAGGCGCCCTAGATGGTAGAAAATCAGTGGATGTTGTCTATATAAACTTCAGCAAAGCATTTGACAAAGTGCCAACAAACAGACTGCTATTGAAACGAGGTCTTGACATTGTTAAACCTCTTCTAAAATGGTGTGTGGGTTTTTCCAGATTGGATCATACTCAAAAATGTAAAACGCTTTGGAATAGTGCAAGCATTAGGATATCGAAAACTTTAAGGAGGTTATAGGAAACGACTCCTTTATTTCTATTTCCTTATTTTCTCCCTTTTCCTTCTTTAAAATCAATTCGATATTCTTCTCAATTATGATTATTATTCTCATTTTCAAATGTGGCAAATATAATGCTGACATTATTAAAGCTTGCGTATTATTGCATCTTTGAAGAAACCCGAAATGGTTCCTTCACAACACTTATGTACCCATAAACTTTTTGTGAATAATAATAATGACAATTCTGGTCTCTAGATTTCCTCCAGAGGAGATATTTTGGGATTTCATTGAATGATTTGCGGCAATTGGGTGAGAAGATATTTTTCACTTCTGGGTAAGAGTCCCATTGTGTGCCAGTTGATAACTGATCGGTTACCTGAGTTGATATGTTTCACGAGGAGATGAAACAGGATCTTGAGCGAACGGTTATCTGAGTGCCCTTAGTAATTAGTGTATCCTGGAAAAATAGTTTGACAGCATCATTTTCGAATACTTATAGAACGTTTTATTTTGTGTAAACATTTTTCTATGTGATTCTCACGTGAAAGCTAAGTGCCTATCACTGGTGGCCATGAGATAAAGACATCTTTTCAACATATGGAGTAAGGGAACTACTCACTGCACGTTGAAACCTGGTTTCAAAAATAACAATTTTACGGGTTACAAACCTTTTTTGACGGTAGTTACTTGTTAGCTTGATCATAAGACAAAATGTCACCAATGCTTGATTTTACACACTTTAAGAAATTTCAAAGTGATTAGTAGATACCTCACTACAATTTATATAACACTGAGACTGGTTACTTATTCTCCCACACCAACTTAATAAATGATGAAGCAAACTTAAAATGTATTGTCCAGTTAGAGACAAGTTGACGCAGTGATGCAAAAGCAAATAAAGCCAAGTTATTGTAGTCCTTGACCGTGTATGCCCTGTGATATCTCATAGTACCCAGGATCACCTCATTCACAAAAATATGCTCCAGTTACTTTCCTTTGCCTATGGCATAACGATTATGGATCATAAGTGATAGCAATAATCATAATTTATCCTCAAATAACGACGCTAACTATTCAAGTCTATGAAATGTCACCACCTTTGTTTAAAAAAAACACGCAGGCAATCCCTCCAAAGCATTCCGTTGGACGTCATTTTCATCTATTTGTTTTTTCCCCATCTCTCATTCTAACCTTTATTCAGGTCTCTCTTAACCGCACTTCATATCCTTCGGTCATCGTCATCTGAACTTTTATTATTCAACCTTGGTTAAGGAATCACCATTGATTACTCGATTTGACAATTGCATGTTGCCGGATAACTGACAATAAGGTAATGTTTGACTCAACTCAAGATCATGGTGTGGTCCAGTGTATGTTTGTTAATCTTCAACTTCCTGTTTGAAAAGGGATATAGCGATTTGTGTAAAAGAATACTGTATTCAATATATTTTGAAACCAAATGATCCTTTATTTTCAGCTTGTTTTGTACCATCTCCATTTATACAGTTCCATTCATACCATGTTTACGCTTGCTTACTTTAACCTATTAGGATGCTTAAAAAGTACCTTCCTAAAAGAAAACTAAAGTAGTCATACCTCCACTATTTCCCCACAAATGACTCAATTTCAGTAGGCATGAAAATTGTCTGGTTTGCTTCTCGTCCTTTCTTTTTTCTTAACTTCTTTTTCAGCCTCAAGATATGCCACAGAAAACGCATATGCATCGGGTGACTCCGCCCTGCGCCATCATAAATGCCTCACATGTTCCAGAGGAATTTAAGGCCACAGCTCATAGAAGCTCTCAAATTTACATGGATTTACCCCCAAATGTCCGTTGCACGTCGCAACGCAACCTCCAAAACGCGCTCCGACTGTCATATTGATAATATGGGTCTTACTAATATTATTTGCTTTCATATGAGAGAATTACTATCCCCCGAAATTTGATGATTAATGTATCTTACAAAATGTAAAACAAACTGAGTTCCCCACCAAAGCGAAGACTGTATCTCCCGTACAATTTGATCTTGACTGTAAGCTGCCATGCCCCATGTAACAGACTGTTATTTGAGAATAAATTATTGTTATTATTATTACTATTAACAAAAGTTTACTGGAATCCCTACAGGTAGATATCTAGTCTCATCTGGTTGGGAATATTTTTGGTACCTAATCCTTTTGTTGTTTAGCAGGTTACTTTGTGCTAGAGGATCCTTTGACTGTATAGCACAAGCTGTACTGTTTGAGATGTTTTGTACATCTGATACAATGTGTTTTCTTATTTTAACTAGAACCGTTTAAATTGAACACAGAAATTGTGCTTTCATTTAGTTTTATACGAGTCGCTCAAAAACGCTTCGCACGCTATACAGAAGAACGTAGGTTGGCCTAACTCAATAAACTTTGTTTCATTAGTTCTGCATTCAAGATAATATTGATTTTTCGGTCGTTACAAGATGCTCAGGCATTCAGTGTTTGAAATCCGTACTAGACAGAAAGGCAACAATGGTGAATGCGTGGATATTCATCCACTCAGTCCGATGGCATGCGTCAGCCTCTCAAACCTGATCATTCTGTATATTCTGTCTTTACTCACATTAAATATATTATTCTGCCTTTAGCCCGACTGTGTCCTTCAAAAGCTCTAGACGTCATATTGCCGATTCTTACGATACGGCAAGTCAGAGTAGACGGTGATGGGACTAACACGTAAGATCTCATATGTTAGGTAGTCACATCATGACAAATCTACAGTTCAAGGATTAGGTCTATCATTACAACAGAACTAACAACGAACCTAGACCATAATTCCAAAGGAATATATTAGCATTTCACCCGCCCATTACGAATGTGGGATATTTTTTGGTTACCAGTACTTGATCATGGATGTCTTCGGAGCGTCCATACGGTTGGTGACTTTAAGGTTAGACGTAGAGCATTAGGTAATTATTGGAAATCGGTTGATGATAGAGTGAATCGCCATAAATTAAAGTGGCTGGAATATGCGTTATGCATCCGCAAACATCCCTAACTTGACGGGTGACTTTATCTGATGAAAAGGCAGCAGATTGGAAGAAATCTAAAGACGAGCATATTAAGAGGTAATGCCAATCCATGTTTAGGGCTTGTTATTTAATACACCGTCGGCCTTAGTCTCATGCTGCTGTATGATGAGTAAACATGTGAGTCAGATTGAAGTCTGCTTCAACAACGTACTGGTCAGTATGTACTGCTCCATCAATAGAAGAAAAACGATCAATATTTAAAGTTACTCTTAGTTTAGTTACGTCCCTGTTTGTGCGACGCTTAGTACCACGTAGACTCAACAATTGTTCAAAGTGAATAAGTAAACAGGTCAAGCAACTTCTTAGATGCAGGAAAAAGCATTGGAGTATGTTTATTCGTACAGTACTAATCCACTTATTGTAAAACCGAGGATGCCTGCAAAGCGTACATAAGTAAGGCTAGACATTCATATGAAAAACAATTGCTTAAGGTTTGTGGAAATGATCCGTAAAGGTTGTTTTCGTACATAAAGAGGCGAACTATGAGAAGTGCTAGGATCCCACCACTTCAATGATAAGAACATTCAAAGATATTAGCAAGAAATGATGTTGTAAGAGCTGGAGTCTTATTAGAATATTTTAGTGTAGTATATTCTACTGACGATGATAAAAGACCAACAGTTGATCGATGAAATGGTGTCTTGTCAATCAGTTAAGTAGTCCTGTCGATGTTTATCCTAGCATTATATAAGCTGGGCTTCTAGCAAACTTTCCTATACGTCCTTGAGGAAAGACGCAACAATCATTCCAATCTATAAATCAGCGGGTAGAGACTTAGTAACTATCGACAAATTGGTCCAACCGGTGTAGTCAAACTATTAGAAAGGGTCATTCGGATGGCTCTTCCAAAGTACGTGAGAGAAAATGATCTTTTAGCGATGAAACAACATAGCTTAGGAAAAGCACTTCGTGCTTAACAGGTTGATCGAATACTGACCTACCGTGAAGTAAATGATCTTGATATATATATGTCTTTTCCTTCCATCTGAAACTGATCATGTGAGAGAACACCCCAAGAAAGCTCAGAAACTGAGAAAAAATAGTTCACATTTGAAGTTCCGTTTCTTGCACCGAGTAGTAAATTACTACAATTAGCAACCAAGGCACGTAAAATCAGCTCCTGATGATATATTCAGAGCAATATTGGAACTCAGGCGTACCACAAGTTGCATCGAGCGATGTAGGTCGATTGACCACCCATCCTTACTACCGAAGACATCACTGTTATGTATACCACTGGTTAAAAATATCTTTTTTTAGGTAAGCACTACGCTTTCTTCTATACATTGTGTCTCTTTGCTGTAAATGGCACTATTCGGTGCAGCGTCCAAGGACACGTTTCATAATACAAGACAGTTTCCGAAGTGGTAAGATGGAAGTCTTTAACTGTCTGATCACTCGTAATATAAACCATATCCTTTCAGGTATCTGTTACCGTATTACTGCTATTGCTTGATGTGCCCAGTTGCCACATCATACAATGCAGAGTTCTTTGTTTTGTCTGTAGTAACTCTGATGATGCTATATATTCATTACTTGCTCTTTTTTACCAATCTTACAGTTCCGTCTCATAATTCCCTTAACCCATCTGACCTACATAAAATTTCCTTCATTTAACTGTATGCCTCCTTAATATGTATTTTGTTCCGTTAATTATTTTGACGTCCATTTTCAAAATAACCAGTGATTATGACTTCGCCTTGTAGTGTATTCCCATCAGTGACAATTTTAGTTTTCATTTAATTTTTTTATTGAGATCTTGAACCAATTGATGTTAGACCATCACAATTGAGAACCTGGAAGCACTGGACGACCGTTTCGTCCTATTGCGGGACTCCTCAGCAGTGCGCATCCACGATCCCGCGAGCGGGATTCGAACCCAGGGCCTTCGGTCTCGCGCGCGAACGCTTAACCAACTGGACCACTGAGCCGGTATCCAATGGTGATAGTTTCTAACATTAACCAATCCACGAAATTGCGCGACCAACTTCCATTGTACTGAAGTAGATAACTGTCTCTACCCAACAAGGATTAGCTCCACTGGTCACGGCTTCTCACTAGAACTCCGAGAATTCCCTCACGAAGCTAGTCACTAGTGAGCACATGCTGAATGGTGTCGAATGGAGATTGACTATGAACACCGCTACCAAGAAACTCGTGCCAAATGACTCCATAAAATCTCCGAGAAGCCAAATATCAGAAGGCAGTTAATGGACCAAGTCGAGATATATTTGCTGGCGATCTCGTGGTATCGAAAGGATACCGAGATCGTGCCAGGATAAAGCTTGGATACAGAACGTAACCGAGTTCGCTCGAAGTAACAATCAAAAATGTGTGAATAATGGATGCTTTTTAGCACAGTTAAACAAAAGCACATTAAAACAGTCACTGGTACAATTGGTTATAATAATAATTGTTTTCAATAAACCAATCGTGTTCTCGTGATAAAAGTGAGTCACTACATATGATTAAAATACTGTTTGCAATAGATATTTCTTTTCAACCTGATTAAAATCGTAGCGAAACGGGAGATCAGTCTGTTTATATATTGGCAAACAGTTTTGACTAGCAGTAGGTACTGTAACTGGTTTTGATGTGACTTTCTTACTGCTGCCATTCATATGATGAGACGCAAGCA